AGAAAGCACTAGAAATAAGTGCTGAGATTATTTTCGCATTTACTTTTTGAGTTTTTCTCTCTTCAATTCAAGAAAGGGAGTTTTTGAATCTCCATCTGTAAAAGATGGAGAAGAAGCTGAAAAGTTTATGCATTTGTAAACTAAGGAAACGAAAGAAAAGAGAGAATTGAGCGTTATTTTTCAGAAACTTTTTTTGAGGAAGAAATGAGGAAGAAATTCAGAGTGAATTTTAGTTGGGTTTTTTTTTTGGGATTTTTTTTGGGTTTTTTTTTGGGATTTTTTTTGGGTTTTTTTGGGATTTTTTTTGGGATTTTTTTTTGGGTTTTTTTTTTGGGATTTTTTTTGGGATTTTTTTTTTGGGATTTTTTTTTTGATTTTTGATTATTTAAAAGATTCAAATTTTGAATATATTTTGAATTCTAAAGATTTTCTTTTAAAAAAGGGCTAAAATTTGAAGTAAAAATCTAGTAAATTTCGAGAAAATCTCTCAAAAAAATTTAGTAAATTTGGGGTAAAAATAAAGGGGAAAAATTTTGGGATAAAGGGAAAATAGTAGAAAATGAAAAAATGGCATTCGTTCTGTTCAACAGCAATTCAGCAACAGTTCAGCAATAGTTCAGCAACAGTTCAGCTGTTGATTTGCTGATAGCTCAAAAATCGGCAACACAACATTGGTGTGTTCAGTAGGAGTAAATGATTTGATTGTTTGAATTGGTGATGATCAATCAATGAACAGAGAGATGGACAAGGAGAAAAAGAAGCGCAAAGAAGCTCGAAGAAGCGCAAAGAAGCGCAAAGAAGCTCAAAGAAGCTCAAAGAAGCGCAAAGAATAACTGAACAAACCGCATGAGATTTTCGAGAAAAGAAAATTGACGAGAACGCCTGTTCTTTTCAATGAAAAAGAGTTTATTCCAATGATTACTATTGTAAATTTTCTTTTTAATGATAATGAATGAAATGATAATTTAATGATAATGATAATGATAATTTAATGATTATAAAATGATTTTTATTTTGCAAATTGCTTAAAAGTTAACTTAGATGTTTTTTAAAACTTTTCTGAATCAATTTCTGTTTTTTCTTCATTCATTGATTTCTTTGTGATATGGAAAAGAAAGAATAGATGAAGTGAAGCCTAGATCTAGGTCATAAACAACTGAAAGCTTGGCTTGATCTAGCTTCATCTCGCTTACAAGTTCATGAACCGATTTTGGAAACGAACAGAGTGGAAAATAGGAAGTTAAAGGGAAGTTAAAGGGAAGTTAAAGGGAAGTTAAAGAGCTCAAAAGCTAGTTCAGGATCAAGCCAAGTCATAATCTGTTTACAAAATGCGAATTTTAATCCGGTTCTAGCCCCGACTGGCTTACAAGACTCGGCTGGCTTACAAGAGCTTACAATGGATTCGTTTGAGTGATTGAGCAAAGCTGTAAAGCTTTTCTAGGCTAGCAGGATTGTTGCAAAAGCCATTGTAGGATTGTTCCAAAAGCCAACCCAGCTCAACAACAGGAGAAGTCAAGACCAAGCTCCAGGTCAAGCCAAGCTAAATCATCTCAGAGCCAAAGTCAAGCCAAGCTAGGAATTTCCTATTGAATTATTCTCCTAGAGGTTCTTGAATGTTCGAAATTGATTCTCGCTTTAATGATCTCTTTGATTCGATTTTTCACTTGTCATACTTGAAAGCAATTTCTCATAAAGAAATCGATTTCCAAATCTCTTAAATCTTCTCGAAAGCTTTTTCGAAGAAAAACTGGTAAGCCAAGCTAATAGAAAAAATGAAAAGGAATGGAAAAAAAAAAGAATAAGAATTAAGAACAGATTTTGATTGACAATAGCTGTAATGTTTGAGTTTGACAAAAAGGGGAAAAGGAAGGAAAAGATAAAAAGAGATCAAAAAGAGCTCGAAAAGAGCCACAATCGATCACACTCAAATGCAGCGATACACACTCAAATTCACTTTCTCTTCAATCCCCTCTTTCAATTGGTCAGAACATTGATCGAAGACCGACTCTTGCTCATTTTCTGTTCTCAATTTCCGGTGTATTTATCCAATCATTTATCCAATCAACTTTCCAATTTCATTCAGTAAACTAATATTCTACATGAAAATTGGAACAATGACTGCCATGGAATCATTGTTTCAAAACGATCTGATCAATTGCAATCTTTGACCCAGCTTACTTTTGCTCAAACCCAAACTTCTTCCGCCTGTACTCTGTGCTCTAGTAAACGCACGTTTCCTGACGCACTCAAATTGCTCTTTCTCGCAAGTTGCAAGCTAAAAAGCTGAACAAAAGCCTCAAAAACAAAGGCTTTGACTAGCCAAAAAGCTTTGGAATTTCCTCATTTCTCAAATTTCGACCAGAAAACCAAAAATTTTCAGAAAATTAAAATCTTCAGTTATTGATAGGAGATAAGAGTTGGGATTTTTTTTTTGAAAGATGAGGCTACTGGTTGAAATATTGATTAGAAAGAAGATAAGGTAAAGAATCTTGTCGAATAACTGAATATCTTTCAATATTTTGAAAATGTTTAACAGTTGTTAAAGCTAGATGTGAAATCAAAGTCACGAAATGGGCAAAATGAAAGAGCAGCACGAGAAGGCATAACAAAGAAGAAGAAGAGGAAGAAGAGGATGAAGAAGAGGATGAAGAAGAGAGACGAAGAAGAAGAAGAAGACGAAGAAGAGGAAGAAGAAGAGGAAGAAGAAGAGGAAGAAGAAGAGGAAGAAGAAGAGGAAGAAGAAGAGGAAGAAGAAGAGGAAGAAGAACAAGAAGAAAGCCAATTCTCAAGTGTTGATATCAAAATAAGAGTGATGTCTTGCAAACGGATGCATCAAGAACAGAAGAGAGTTGATCGGGATAAGGGAATGTTCGGGGGGAGAGGTACAGGGACAAGTGGAGCGGGGGTCCAGGGTCCTCTCAACTCACCGCTCCTCCCCACTTGAGAACCACTGTCCACCACTGTCTCCCCTTTCTCGACGAAGCCCCCAAATACAAACAAGTCTCGCGCACTTGTACTTCTCTTCATTCGCTGCTTTCATGAAAGATCTTCTCTTTGTTCTGAGTCAGCATTTCGTCTTGAAGTAAAGCGGAAATTGTAAAAATCGACAAGAAATCGGTAAAAACGGCTGCGATGGGATTTTTTCGAATCCAATTCATTCAATAGATTACAAAGTAATACAAAGTCCAAAGTGGATAAATCCACGCTTACTATAGTGCTTAAACTTTGCACTATAGTTCTTGATTGGGAATCTAACCCGTTAGAAGAAACATTAATCTAAACAACATCACATAAATCAGCACTTTTATGCAAATGAACTGCGATTTCTAAAGAAACATCTAAACAATTTCAACAACCACTTACAAATCAGCATTGTTCGTGTTGGATAAAGGCAAAGTAAAAAAAAAAAAAAGAGAAGAGAAGAGGAAGTGTTTGAGGCGCGTATTACAGCAAGTGGTTTCAATGCGGGAAAGGGGTTTAGGAGAGGACATGAAATCGACAAGAAATCCCATCTCTGGTTGTCGAGCATGTGCACAATGACGGCTAGGAGGGAAGGAGGACACATGACGGGGGGAAACGGCCAAATACACGGCCACACTTATGTTGAGCGGATACGAGGAAAGCGTGTGTGTGTGTGTGTGAAAGTATGGCATCATTAGCTGTATTTAATTTCTGATTTCAAGTAGATAACTCTAGTTATGTTGTCTCTGTATACTGGGAGTAAAGCATAAAAATTTGCTGCGTTAAGGGTTTACGAGTAAACAGGTTACTGCAGTCTACTGTAGTCTACTGTAGTCTACTGTAGTCTACTGTAGTCTACTGTAGTCTACTGTAGTCTATTGTAGTTCATTCTCCGAGAAAACGCTAATGTAATGAGTCACAATCTGTAGCTTTAAAAACCCCATTGGCATCAGAGATCCCATTGTTTTAACTCTTCATCTCCACGAAACTTTACGTGCTTTATTTTCTCACCATAGAAATCGTTTACATCAAAAAGAAGAAAGTGAGAGCAAAAATAGGAGTGATATTATAAAAAAAATCGATTTTTATATATAAAAATCCCAAGTTAAACATAAAATAATTCCAAACAAGTAGCGCCAACAAATTAAATTGTGGAAGAGAGAAACGAGCAAAAAAAAAGGCGCACACAAACAGCTGGGGAGTGTGGCGCTTTGCTCTGCAAAATGACTCGTTATTCAATGGAAATAAACATATGTAGTTAAACACAACAACATTTAAATAAAAAAGATAGGACGGCTACCTTGTAGAGGAGCAATTTTCGAGAGAGGAGGAAAAAACGAGAAGAAAAGCCGAGTATTTGTGCTGACCTGTGCTAATGTGATACGAGAACTAGTGAACACAATGTAAACTCATCAATTGGTGAAAAGGGTGGACACATAGAAAACGCAACCGGGTTTTTTGCTTGGGGCAATCAAGACAAAAGGGGACATCAATTGTCCTACGTCGCTAATTCGTAGTTAATTCATAACTGGTTTAAGAGCTAGCACAAGAAAGTGACATCAAAACTATGGACCTCAAAGACAACAAAAAAGGGAATTGATTCCCCATTCATTGAATTGATTCGATTCGATCTAGAAATGGATCAAGTTCTGGTAAATCACCGGTTGAGTCATGAATTCGAAAAGCTAATCAAGCTAGTTTTCTGTATAATTACGAATCAATCTGCAAAAACAATACATATAAAACAAGTCGGGGGGCAACACGTCAAGGGTATGATATTGCAGAAGTACAAGCTTATGAATGGCCGAATTTGTGTTCACACGAACACACACGAGCACAACTTAGATGATCACCGTGATTAATCAGACCCACTAGGTTTCACACACACACAACAAATTGGTGGCTAAGGGAAATTTCGGTCAATGCTCACCGGCAGATTTTTAAAAGGGGAATAAGTTATAATGAACTAGGAAGAAACGAAGAGACTTTTAGCGATTTCGAGAAAAATGGTGACCATAAAAAAGAAGAGAAAAACCTTATACATCAGAGAAAATGTAAAGGTTGTTCGTTGCTGCAAGGGCGATGATGTTCTCTCGCGGATGCCATGTTGCGTGGAGAATCTTCTTCGAGAAGTCCAGAGCATCGGGCGACAACTCTTCTTCATCAGTTGCAGTTATTCCTGAATAAAAAAAATTGCAATAGCAAATGCTTTTTCCCTGTTTGACACAACCAAGAGATTTTAAAGACGAATCACTTTCACAATGAGTCAAATATTTTAAAAAAACCACTCACCAACTCGTCGTTTCTGTCTAGCAGCACCCGTAACAACGCGTCTTGTTCTTAGTGGCACATGTGGCTCTCCCGGTCGAGCTTCCCACATTTTCGGCTCTCCATTGCCTCGTGGGAACGTTCGGAATAGGTTGTGGTACGATCCAGTGATGATATGCCTAAAGAAAATGTTTTATTGCCTATTTTAAAGATTCTTTTACTTGTCATCGCCACTCCAGCCACACTCGAATTTGTCAAAGATCGAATCTAAATCAAGTGAAAATTGTGTATGTGCCAGTTCCATAAAAATTTCTCAAAAAAATTGAAATCCAAAAAATCAAACCGTTCTCATAGAGTTGGCACAACTTTGAGCGGAGATGTTCGTGCACGGGATAGGTCTCAACAGGGCTTGACTCCATATTCAAATCCCAAACCTAAAACCAAAAATACGATACTGTTGTTAGAATTTATAGTCTACTCTAGCACTTAAAATGCACATGTTTATTATCATTAACCAGCACACCTTGACGGTCAAGTAATCTCTGGTCAACAAATAGCGTCCATCATTGCTGAATTTCACGTCCGAGACGCTGGCAATGATTTCGGAAAAGAACGATCGAGCTTGTGGATCCTCGGCTTCTTCAAAAACTAAAAGCAAGGGTTATTCAAGTGTAAAATTAAATTCAACAGACGTTTAGCATGTTGGTCACATAATGCTCGATCACGCATATCACACAATCGTATCGAACCCTTGGAAGAGGAGTAAACAAATCTAAATTCAGATATCAGGAGAAACTTTTAGGGCGCTTACTCATTGCACTTTGTTGGGTGAAATTCGGCAGCAGTAATGACCTCAGTAAGTTCCTCCATGTTAGCAGGCTTGATGTCCACGATATCTAAAAATAAAATTTACTTGAAAACAAACAAATATTGCTTACTGAATGATTCATTGGTGATCTCACAGTGCCATAGGTTGATTCGCAGATCATCAGCAGATAGGAAAGTCTCCTGAAAACAGATGTATTGGGTTGGGAGTATGAAATGGCGCTGACTTTCAAAAATTTTTCTGAAACGCATCAAAGCTCCATTGTTTATATAATCAAAAAGGGTCTATCATTGCTCTATCAAATGGCTTTTAAGAGATTTCGAAAAGCTTTTGTTTTGTGGATTTTATGGGCTCCTAAACGCAAGCACTTAAAATGACAAGGAGTTCGATTGTCGCTTGACTCGTTCCTTACACAAAAACTTAACTTGAGCACACTCAATTAAATAAGCGGCCAAATTTTTGTAATGATGATGTCAGTCATTTTCTCCAACGATTTATAGATTTTCTGAAAAAAATTAACTCTTATTAAGTTGGAACTTGAGGTCCAATGGGTTTGAAATTTGAGTTCTATTTCAAATACGATTTTGTAGAGAAATAAGTGAGCTTTCTAATGATACCTAATGACCCGCGTGTCATTTGATAAAGACTACTCGATGTTATAGACGTTTCTTTGGATGTGGACATCATTTAATACTCCCCAACCCAATATGAAGCATTGCCGGTTTCACTTTTCATTTCAACCATTAATCTGTTGCACTAATTTTAAAAGAAAAATTTCAGCATATCTCTGTAATCGTGTAGCATTTTTATGCATTTAATGCCGCACTAAAACTACCTCATCCGAGTTGACCGAGATGCTGTTGACGTGATAGGTGTGAGCGTTTCCATAAACTCGTCGTGGACTTGCTTCAACGATGAGCTCCATTGGCACAATTTGGGGAATCGTCAGTTGTCCAACGAATTGTTGCTGATTTGCTCTAAATGTTTTTCGATTACAACAAATTCAAAAAGGTTTGGTTATATGCATATTTGAGTACAAACCGTCGATGCACATTCCAAGAGTTCTCGGCGACTTTCTTCTCCCTTTCCGAAATTTTCCAAAGCTTTACAGTTTTGTCTAAAACAAGGAATTAGATTTATCAATGAAATGTACATTTACCATTTGTAGAAAGAATGAAATTAGCAGCATTCTTCTTTTTGAGCCATTTTATCTAAAAAGCATTTACATATCTCACTCCTTTCATTTAAACAAACCTGATTAATTTTCTCCTCGATTTCCAAAGATTTCAAGTAGTCAAATTCAGGTTCATGTGATTGGAAAGTCGAGTAGACGTTGTATTCCCGTGAACGGCAGCCATTCACATATTTACCCTAAAAATATCAATTTTAAAAATGCTAAAAACATTGCAAACTAACACTTTGATCCCGTTGAAAGATGACAACTCGTCCTCCTTTATCTCCAGTGGCCAGGTATTCTCCGTCATGCGAAAACTCGACACAAGAAATGATGTCAGCTAAATATTTGCATTAGAGGATCGTTGCAATGTTTAGATAAAATTTCCCAGCAATAAAACTACCTTCAGTATGCGTATCTTCTCCATCGACATTCCCCTTGACTTGCGAAAACTTCCATTGAACGCCCGATTCAATCGGTCCAGCATCAGACGTGTCCATCGACGTTCCTGCATCATCCACTTCCATCGTCATTGTTAGCGTCTCTTCGTTGGGCAGATGGGAAGAAATTGAGCTGAAATTTGAGACATTAATGCACGAATGTCTACTTAAAAACGAACCGCAACGTAAACATTATTTGTTAAAATCTCAACCCCTTTAAGAGAGCGTTTCTAAAAACAAAAAAAAAGAACTATTACGTTTCATCGGCAGTTATCACGTTTAAAAATACGCTGTCTTCCAAAAATTACAACTAAAATTATAACTTACAACTAGAAACTAAAATTACAACCTATCCCAGCTTTTTCTACATAAAAGATAAAAGTTTACCTTACAATTGTGATCCTGGGCACTGAAAAGATGCAAAATCGAGTCGATTCGCGTCTCGGGCTTGCTATTTAAAAAGAAAAATAAGCATCATATTAAAAAATGAAAAAAAGGCAAAAACAAAATAGTAGAAAGAGGAAATTCATGGTGGAAATTGATGGTCGGAGGTGGGAAAAAGCAAAAAAAGAGTTGTGATGCTGTCCTGGCAACACGGAATAAAGAGAAAATCATCGGATTTGGGGATGGGGAGACAAATGATGCGCTAAATTACATCGGGAATCAGGAAATCAACAATAAACAGGTAAATCGTTGCAAGTAAAAGTAAATTCGCACTCATCGAAAGATTGGAGGGGTTGCAAAGCGTGTTTGAGGGGAAAAGAAGGTCGAGGGGGTGAGCCGGGCAAACAGAAAGAGCCAGGCACACAAATTTGAAAAAAAAAAAGAAGAGACAAACGCGTAGCGCGCATTGGAAAACAAGTGCCTTATTCTGCACTAATAAAACAATAAAAAACGGTGAGAAATGCGACAAATGCAAAGACAGCTATTGGCCAATACGTCTACATTTATTATAATTAACCTTTCTTCTCTTAGAAAGTCTACCCATTATCCAAAAAGACAAAAAGGAGCAGGTTTTAGCGGCCAGTATCACGCTAAATGACAAATAGAATTTGCGGGTGGCTACTTTAGGCCAAATTTTTTGCGCAACTCGCCATAACTTTTTTCTAAATCGGACAATCTTTATGATTTTCACGTCATTTTCTAGAACTCATCAAGTGCAACAAAATGACACCAAAATCATAAAGACTCGCTCATTTAGAAAAAAGTTATGGCAAGTTGGGCAAAAGAAATTTGACGCAATGCAGCCACCCCCATAGAATTTCTCTCATTTCCGCCACAAATTCACATTCGTCATTCAGCGCAAATGAGACTTCGCAAAAGATTGTATGCTTATCCAAAAAGTCAAACATTTTTTTGACGATTGGTGACCCCTCATTGCCATTAGGAAAACGTTGAGTGAATTGGCGATCTCTTCCCCCAATTGCGAGCAATTCACTAAAGGAGTAGAGAGATAGATTGATTGAAATTGATTGAAATAGCATAAAATAGCCTAAACTAGCTTAAAAATAGTCTAAAGTAGCTTAAAAATAGCCTGAAATGATTTTAGAAACTAGCCAAAACTAAAACAACCACACAATTCTAAAGATTGGCTTTTAAATACTAGCCAAAAAGTAAAACAGCCACAATTCTAGAAACTTTACTATAGCTAGGATATTGGCTAAGATAGAATTCAAATATTTAACAAGAAAGCTAAAACCTATTTAACAAGAAAGCTAAAAACTCCGCTCAATTTAACAAAACGCATTGAAAAGAGACGAGTAATATGGTTTAATTACACAGATCCGAAACCGCAAAACAAAAGAAACAAAGAGCTAGAGCTGGGCTAGAGCTTCAGCTCATTTGTGGTCATTGCGTATATTCGAGAGGCTTTTGCACCTATAGGGGCGGAGGCTGAAGGAGCCGAGGAGAAGGGAAGAGAAAAGAAGAAGAGGGGATTGATTGGAGGTGTAGGTCCAAATTAGAAGGCGTCGGATTAGCGCTCGCGGGATGATATCGTGAGAGAGCCCTGCCCCTCTCCAAAAAAATTTGTCTTTGAGAAAACAGGCAACGCCTGAATTGGATATTCGAAAATGGGATTGGGGAATTGATGGGACAAGGAGCAGGGTTTGTCTTGGTTTGTTTGCAGCTTTGCTTTGCAGCTTTGCACAGGGATTCAAAGGGGATTGATACGTGATTGAGAGAGAAACGAGGAGCGCTTGGGGCAGCTGGAACAGCTTTATCCCTAGTGCAATTCTATTCTAATATAGTGGTTATCGTTCGAGTAAAGTTTTTAAAAACAAACACACGAAAAAAAATTTAAAAATCTTTAAGCGAAATTTTTTGCAAAAAATTTGGGCGAAAAATCAAAAGCGTTAATTTTTCACGAGCCTTTTATAACCCTCTTTTTAAAAACATTAAAGATATTCAGCTGTTTAACTAATTTCGTCACAAATTCCCTTCAAATTTAAAGATATTCAATTTACTCGACGTGTAATTAGGATTTGCTCGTAGTTGCTCAATTTCAAAAAAAATTTCGATTAATTCAGAAAAAATTTTGGATCAAAGTGGGACAAATGCGACCTTTTTTTTTGCGCACCTGGACATTTGCGCGCCTTTTTTTCCACACTTAGCCCATTTGCGCACCTTTTTTCCACACTTAACCCATTAGCGCACCTTTTTTCCACATTTAGCCCATTAGCGCACCTTTTTTCCACACTTAGCCCAACTGCGCCTTTTTTCCACACTTAGCCCATTTGCGCACCTTTTTTCTACACTTAACCCATTAGCGCACCTTTTTTCCACATTTAGCCCATTAGCGCACCTTTTTTTCCACACTTAGCCCAACTGCGCACCTTTTTTTCCACACTTAGCCCATTTGCGCACCTTTTTTCCACACTTAGCCCATTTGCGCACCTTTTTCCACACTTAACCCATAGCGCACCTTTTTCCACTTTAGCCCATTAGGCCCTTTTTTCCACACTTAGCCCAACGGCACCTTTTTTCCACACTTAGCCCATTTGCGCACCTTTTTTCTACACTTAACCCATTAGCGCACCTTTTTTCCACATTTAGCCCATTAGCGCACCTTTTTTTCCACACTTAGCCCAACTGCGCACCTTTTTTTCCACACTTAGCCCATTTGCGCACCTTTTTTCCACACTTAGCCCATTTGCGCACCTTTTTCCCCCCGCGCCCTTTTCCCACTAGCCCATTTGCGCGCCTTTTTCTCCACACTTAGCCCAACTGCGCACCTTTTTTCTACACTTAACCCATTTGCGCACCTTTTTTCGCGTTTTAAAAAAGCTCTAAAAGCTAATATTAACCAATTTCTATTCCAAAAGTTGTTTTTCTAGGTAATTTTAGGGCGTAGAATCGAAATTTTGACATATCAGAGCTTGTGGAAGCGAACGGACGGAGTTATGCAAAGAGAAAAATCGACAATTTTCTGTAATTTGACCTAGCCGTTTTGTCTTTCAAATTGGTTCCACACGCTCTGTTATGTCAAAATTTGAATTCTTATAATAGCTCTTGTAATCTAGTATTTTTTGATATCAGAGGTGTAGCTGGCAAAAAGTCTAGAAGCTTAGAGAAAACGAAGTTAGACTACGCGACTGTACGAGGCGTTGACGTTCTATTAGAGTTTTTACGTTAAGTTATTATAGTCATTCGATAGCTCTAAATCTCTTCTTTAAAACTAGTACAAATTTACCAAGAACTTTATGCAAAATAAATAAGAAAAGTCTTTAAAAACGAGTTGACACTAGAAATTCTCGTTATTAGAACGATCAATTGGTAGATTGGATCGTCGTGTGAGTTAAATAAAAGCTATTTTTTTATTTCTTATCAGCTTTCTCTTATGCTTTTTCTTAGCAGCTTTCTTTCGAAACATGAAAAAGAAAGTTTTAAAACTAAAAAAAGCGCGAATAGATTCAACTCGTTAAGCAAAATTTTAGAAAAAGTAAAAAAATGAGGATAAAAATGGTGTGAGTCGATCTTCTCGATGTTCTTCTCATGAAGACTGAGGAGTGAAGACACAGACAGAACAGACAAACGATCGATTGGGGTGGCCGCCGCGAAAAAAACTGCGGGAGGCGGGCAAAGGAAAAGAGCGGAAAGACGCTGAGATACGCTGAGAGTTGTGCTCTCTCCTCTCTCTCCCTTTCTGGGAAAATGGAAATGCTGGGGTGACCAGATAATACACGCAATCACGTAAACATTAAAGTATCACCTATTTCATCGATCAATTGTTTTTGAGTTGTGGTTGTGAAGGTTTAAAAATTTGTATTAAAAGATTCAAACGAATTCTGGATCAAAGATTGAAACTGAGTTCGGTGCGTTCCAACTAAGAGAGAATTATGGAAAATATTGAAATCCATCAAACAGAAAGCGAGATAATAGCCTGAACAGCTTTTATGAGTCTAGATCAAGAAATCTCAAAGCAAAAGGCTATTATTTTTACTGTTTGATTTAAGTTGGAATGCACATGATAATTCGAAAGTATTTTAGAGTTTTAATTCACATTTTCTATTTCTAGCTCACCCTCGCTTCACTGTTTGAGCTCTAGGTTAAACGGTAGACTAAGCAGTAAACTAAGCAGTAAGCTTAGCGGCAAACTGTATAGATAAAAGCTTAGAAACGCTTAGAAAAAGGCTTAAAAATTAAAATAATTTTAAAATATTTAGTTAACTTGTAAAAAAAGATCTAAAAATGGTGTCAATTTCTCGTTTTCTTAAGTTTTCTTTTCTTCTTTCTTCTTCTTCTTCTTCTCTCTTCTTCTCTTCTTCTTCTTCTTCTTCTTCTCTTTCTTCTTCTTCTTCTTCTTCTTCTTCTTCTTCTTCTTCTTCCTTCTTCTTCTTCTTCTTCTTCCTCTTCTTCTTCTTCTTCTTCCTCTTCTTCTTCTTCCTTCTTCTTCTTCTTCTTCTTCTTCTTCTTCTTCTTCCTCTCTTCTTCTTCTTCTTCTTCTTCTTCTTCTTCTTCTTCTTCTTCTTCTTCCTCTTCTTCTTCTTCTTCTTCTTCTTCTTCTTCCTCTTCTTCTTCTTCTTCCTCTTCTTCTTCCTCTTCTTCTTCCTCTTCTTCTTCTCTTCTTCTTCCTCTTCTTCTTCTTCTTCTTCTTCTTCTTCTTCCTCTTCTTCTTCTTCTTCTTCTTCTTCTTCCTCTTCTTCTTCCTCTTCTTCTTCTTCTTCTTCTTCTTCTTCTTCTTCTTCTTCTTCTTCTTCTTCTTCTTCTTCTTCTTCTTCTTCTTCTTCTTCTTCTTCTTCTTCTTCTTCTTCTTCTTCTTCTTCTTCTTCTTCTTCTTCTTCTTCTTCTTCTTCTTCTTCTTCTTCTTCTTCTTCTTCTTCTTCTTCTTCTTCTTCTTCTTCTTCTTCTTCTTCTTCTTTCCAAATTTACAGTTATTGACAAAAGTCTTTTAAAGCTGATTTTGTACTGAGGTCTTCCGCTTTACCGAAACAATTGTTGTTTCACTTGTTGTGTCCAGAGCCAAACTCGCGGCAAACGGTAAACGTTCATCGTGCATAAAAAAGTGAACGTCCACCAGTTACAACTTTAAGTGCTGCTTTGGTACTTCATCGATCGAGTCTGGACAACTATTAAACCCCAAATTCTACGCTCAGCGCTACAAGACGATTCAGGAGAATGATATTCTGCCGTTTTCGACCACAATAATGACCCAGGGTTGGTTGTTGTACCAGGAAAATGCCCTGTGCCATTGCCCCGTGCCACAAGTCACAGCTGCTGATAGGGCGCCGTGTATGTGCGTTCCAGATTGAAGAGAATTGCAAAAATAATAGCCTTTTGCTTTGAGATTTCTTGAGCTAGACTCATGAAAGGTGTTCATGCTGTTATCTCGATTTTTGCTTGATGGATTTCGATAACTTCTGTAATTTGCTCTTAGTTGGAATGCACAGAACTCAGATTCAATCTTTCTTTCGAAGTTCTTGAGCTTGTTGCGAGGAGGAATTATCCTCGGGATCAAGGGAAGAGACGATGAGTTAGAAGTAGAAAATGCGAGAAAACGTGAATCAACACTTCTGAATTGTTATGTGCGTTCCAACTTAGAGCAAACAGTAAAAATAATAGCCTATTGCCTTGGTATTTCTTGATCTAGACTCATGAAAGGTGTTCATGCTGTTATCTCGATTTCTGTTTGATGGATTTCAATCTTTTCTATTTCTCTCTCTTAGTTGGAGCGCACATATCATTTCCAAGAAATCAGATTTTCATTTGTTTCTTTTTAAAATTTTTTATTAAACTTTATTCTACATGAAATATTTGTTAAAAGAAATGAATGAAATTATATAATTATATAGTTTTTATTTAATATATCATTAAAAAGAAAGGAAAAGAAAGGAAAAGAAAGGCAAAGAAAGAATAAAAAAAATGAAACTAATCCATCAAAAATCAAAAAATCAAAAAATTTAAAAAAACCCGTGAAAAAGTAGGGATTTTAGAAGAAAATGAAGAAAGGAAAGATAATTTGATAAACGCACCTTATCTGGTGCACTGTTTTCTATCTAATAACGATTATTTAAAGAATTTTCATGATACGCAAGAGACCGAGGACGAGGAAGATGTTGAGTGCGACGAGCAGGAGAGTCGTCATTGACGAGGATGGAGGGTGGAAAGCTTTTAGAGAAGTCCCGAGATTTGTCAAACATCCAAGCACATTGTATGCCATTTCACGAACTGGAAACGAGAAAAGATTACCTCAGCATTTATAGGGAAAGAATTGAAAGGATTAAAAGAATTGAAAGGATTTTAGAAAAACAAACCATTCCAGTGCCTCGTTTGTCTCTAGAAATTGCTAAATTCTGACTTTGAACTTCTGGATTTAACGTCATTTAGCTTCTCTTCTATTTTGGATTTAGCAGAATGACTATTGTACAATGGAAGGGGGATCAGGGATTGGATAAAGAAGCGGATCAAGGATTGGATCAAGAACCGGACCAAGGAACGGATCAAGAACCGGACCAAGAACTGGATCAAGAACTGGATCCAGGACCAGACCAAGAACCAGATCAAGAACCGGATCAAGAACTGGATCAAGAACTGGATCAAGAACCAGATCAAGAACCAGATCAAGAACCGGATCAAGAACTGGATCAAGAACTGGATCCAGGACCAGACCAAGAACCAGATCAAGAACCAGATCAAGAACTGAATCAAGAACTGGATCAAGAACCAGATCAAGAACCGGATCCAAGATCGGATCAAGGAACGGATCAAGGATCAGCTCAAGGATCGGATTAAGAACCAGATCCAGGACCAGATCAAGGATCGGATCCAGAACCAGATCAGGAGCCGGATCAGGAACCGGATCCAGAGCCAGATCAGGAACCGGATCAAGAACCAGATCAAGGCTCAGATCCAGAACTGGATCCAGGACCAGATCAAGAAGCAGATCAAGAACCAAATCAAGAACCGGATCAAGAACCGGATCTAATCTAATCAACTAATCAGCTAATTAGGCTAAGCCAGATTCAGGCTTGGCTCACAATCAGGCCAAGAACAAATCTCAGCCTGGTTTCTGGCTAGCTACGGGCTAGCTACGGCTACTTTTTGCAGACATAAGCCAACTAGGTCAAGCTAAAGCCAGCTCTAGACCTAGCTAGTCCAGATCAAAGCCAGCTCCAAACCTGGCTAGATCATTCCAGAACCAAGGCTGAACTATGACAAAACTATGAAACCCAGTTTTGATAGTTTGATACCCAGTAAAAACAGAGATCCCAATTTTCAAAGAAATATTTGTAGTTGTATAGCCGTTAAGAACATTTGTGTTTTGGTCTGGGGGTCAGAATGCCATTAAAATGTTTGTGGAGCTCTTGTTGGCGATGTTTACGAGAATAAAACAAAGCATTCTACCGCCAGCCTCTACTATCAGCTTCTATCGTTGGCTAAGCTTCAGCTCTAGCTTCAGCTCTAGCTTCAGCTCTAGCTTCAGCTCTAGCTTCAGCTCTAGCTTCAGCTCTAGCTTCAGCTCTAGCTTCAGCTCTAGCTTCAGCTCTAGCTTCAGCTCTAGCTTCAGCTCTAGCTTCAGCTCTAGCTTCAGCTCTAGCTTCAGCTCTAGCTTCAGCTCTAGCTTCAGCTTCAGCTCTAGCTAAGCTCTACTTAGCTTCTCTGAAACTCACGATAGATCCTTGCTTGTTGAAGTCTTCCCCCTTCAGCTCTTTCCCTCCATTCTTGAGCCATTCCCCGAGTGATTGTTGTACGCCACAACTCGTTTGGAGCCTATATTTGGAGCCTTTCTTGAAGCCTATATTTGGAGCCTATCTTGGAGTCTATCTTGAAGCCTATCTTGGAGCCTCTTCCTTTTTTTCACTTCTCTTAAGCTTTATCTAGTTAAATATAAACCTTTTTCTCTTGTAAATCCCCATTAATCTCTTTCCGCCCATCAGCTAGATATTTGACTTCTTTGCGACGTTTTATCTAAAAGTTTACTAAATAATGAATCATTTTCTTTTAAAAAAAATCATTTTATAATTTAAAATGAATAGAAAAAAAAAGAATTTCTGAATTTTTGAATAGAATTTCTGGAAGAATATCAAAGTGAATGCTCGATAAAGATCAGACAAATGATTGCCAAAATCTCTTCACAATGAGCTTGAAAAAACAATGAGCTTAACGTCAAATAGACAACTAAACGTGAAAACTAAACAATCAAAGCCAGCTTTTAGATCTATCTAGTTCAGATCAAAGCCAACCCCTAGATCAATCTAATCCAGATCAAAGCCAACCCCTAGATCTATCTAGTTCAGATCAAAGCCAACCTCTAGATCTATCTAGTTCAGATCAAAGCCAACCTCTAGATCTATCTAGTTCAGATCAAAGCCAACCTCTAGATCTATCTAGTTCAGATCAAAGCCAACTCCTAAATCTATCTAATCCAGATCAAAGCCAACTCCAAATCAAGATTCAACTGGCTGGAACAGTATTCAACTAGCTTGGAACAGTATTCCTAGCTTGGAACAGTATTCAACTAGCTGGAACAACCTCAACTCAGCAGTCCTGCGAAATCTCACCCGTATTATGCCAGAATCTTTCAAGTAATAAGCACAAAAATCCTCCGCTTCAAGTCTTGCTTGATATTCAAATTACAGTTCCCTGGCCATGCAGGCCATGAAGGCACATGCTCGTGGGTTGATCACCCGACCTTTCCCCTTCCCCTCTTCCCCTCTTCCCCTCTTCCCCTCTTCCCCTCTTCCCCTTCGAACTCTCTCTTCAATATAGTTATCTCATCCACTCCCTCTTGTCCTTGTCCTCTTGTCCTTGCCTTTTTCATCCTTTTTCAGTCTCTCTCACAGCTAAATCAAAGCGACTTTTCTCTTGAAACACTGTGGAATTCTTGCGGCTCATTTCGAAATGAGTCATCGAATTAAGATAAGATTTTCCGGAGATGATTGTGGAAAGAATGTTGACCGGATGGTGATTGATCAATAATGACTACGAGGTGATGAGAGATGTAGAGGGTTTTTGCATGAATGCAACGTAAAATCAGCAATACTTAGATCAAAGCTAGCTCTAGACCAAGCTAGTTCAGATCAAAGCTAGCTCTAGACCAAGCTAGTTCAGATCTAGAACAAAGACTGAACTATGACAAAACTGACAGGATTGGATCAAAGGATCGGATCGGAGGAGATGTAAAGCTTTGTTTTTGCTTGATATCACTATAAACAAACGAGCTAGAGATCAGTTAGAAGCTTGTGAAAGAGCGCAGAAGGTTGTAAACCAGTTTTAGGCAAAAACATTGGTTAATGGGTATTTGATCCGCGCTTGGCCACCTTTTTATACCTTTTATACGATTGTAGTCAAGTTCTCTGGGTTAAACTAAAGGCCTACCAACCCTTATCTAGCTTTGCTATAAGATTTTGAGGCATTTGATACGCTACCATTGCCATTGCCAACTTTGACCTCAAATATCTCAGGATTGGATTGTCTAATTGGAATCTTTTTGGTATCATTAGAATTGCCAAGTCTTTCTCTATCGATTGATATAAAAACTATTGAATTTGGACCAATGGGGACCAAGAAATTTGAGCTTAAAGTTTGCTAATGGGAAAGGGTCGCGTCTCGTTCCTTTGCCCAATATCTCAGGATTGGATTGTCTAATTGGAATCTTTTTGGTATCATTAGATTCAGCAAGTCTTTTTCTATTGATTGATATAAAACCTATTCAATTTGGACCAATGGTGACCAAGAAATTTGAGCTTAAAGTTCGCTAATGGAAAAGGGTCGCGTCTCGTCCCTTTGCCCAATATCTCAGGATCGGATTGTTGAACTGAAATCTTTTTGGTATCATTAGATTCAGCAAGTCTTTTTCTATTGATTGATATAAAACCTATTCAATTTGGACCAATGGGGACCAAGAAATTTGAGCTTAAAGTTTGCTAAAGGTAAAGGGTCGCGGGATCCCTTTGCCCAACTTTGACCTCAAATATCTCAGGATTGGATTGTTGAATTGAAATCTTTTTGGTATCATTAGAATTGCCAAGTCTTTCTCTATCGATTGATATAAAAACTATTGAATTTGAATAGCTCAAGACGAAGAAATTTGGAGTTTAAACAACAGGAATGCAGAGCGATAACAGGGAAAAGAGATCGAGATGGATTTAAGCTATGGAGTATAGGTATTATGTTTTAATAGCTATTAAACTCGAGTTTCCTATGCATTTTGTTCATTTAAAGTATCTCTAGCTTCAGTTTTTCTAGTTTTTCTATTGTTTCTATTGTTTCTATTGTTTCTATTGCTTCACTCACATTCACATCAAATAATCCCTCTTGTCCATCTTTTTCCTGATGAAATTCGTCGAGAGAAGTGGGCTCAATTGGATGATTGAACACGTGAATCATTCTTGATTGATTGAGAAATGGTTTGAAATTGAAAGAGAACTTCTATAAAACAAGATCTGTAATTGTTTTAAGGATTTAGAGAATTGGAAAAAGATTTGAAAAGATTTGAAAAGATTTGAAAAAAAGATTTTAATCTACAAATTCATTTATTTGAATAGTAAACAAGAGGAAACAAGAACAAGAACAAAGAAACAAACAAAGAAGACAGTAAACAATAAGAGAACTTGCAGTACTTGTCAGTTATACATCAACAAAGACTCATCTCGCTTAAGCGTCCCCATCCCGTTATCGATTTCGGTTCTCTTCTCGGTTATCGATTTTCGTTTGATTGAGTCGACTGACTGATCGACTGATCGCTTCAGACGATCACTCCAGACGATCACTCCAGACGATCACTCCAGACGATCACTCCAGACGATCACTCCAGACGATCACTCCAGACGATCACTCCAGACGATCACTCCAGACGATCACTCCAGACGATCACTCCAGACGATCACTCCAGACGATCACTCCAGACGATCCTCCAGACGATCCTCCAGACGATCACTCCAGACGATCCTCCAGACGATCCCTCCAGACGATCACTCCAGACGATCACTCCAGACGATCACTTCAGACGATCACTTCAGACGATCACTTCAGACGATCACTTCAGACGATCACTTGACGATCACTCGACGATCACTCGACGATCACTCGACGATCACTCGACGATCACTCCAGACGACTGACTGATCGACTGATCTTCAGAAGATCGACTGATCACTCCAGACGATCGACTGGTTCAGCGACTGGTCACTTCCTCTACTTCACTAAACATAATCAGCTGTCAACTTCTTGCTTAACCGAGTTGAGTCTCGACTGATCGATGACTTCAGAAGATCGAGTCTCGACTAACGTCTGAAGTGACCAGTCGATCTTCATTCAGACGATCGACTGATCATTCAGACGATCGATCACTCTGTGGACTCTCTGCGAATGTATAACTGACAAGTACCTAATTAGCTTAAAGTTTAGCTAGATATTTAGCTAGATAAGCTGCTTTTTTGTAAGCTTAAACTACAAAAGAAAGTAAAGGAATAAAGTTAGAGGTGAAGGAAAGTAAAGTAATGTAAAGTAATTTAAAGAAAACTAAAAGGAAAACGATTTTTATGTAAGAGTGAAATGATTGATAGAAACAAGAGGATAAATCAATTACAGTAGATAAATGGGAAATGATTGATAGAAAGGGGAATGGAAAGGGGAATGGAAAGGGGAATGGAAAGGGGATAGAAAGGGGATAGAAAGGAGATAGAAAGGGGAATGGAAAGGGGAATGGAAAGGGGAATGGAAAGGGGAATAGAAAGGGGAATAGAAAGGAGATAGAAAGGGGATAGAAAGGGGATAGAAAGAAGATAGAAAGGAGATAGAAAGGAGATAGAACAGAGGAATAGAAAGGAGATAGAAAAGAGATAGAAAGGAGAGATAGAAAGGGGAATAGAAAGGAAATAGAAAACAAAAGAGAAAAGAAAAGAAACTGATTTGGAAATTGAGAAATTTGAAGTGATTTGAAAGGAAAAAACGATTGAAACGATTGAAATTGGGGAAATGATGGGGTAAGATTGAAAGAGAAACGATTCGACGGGTGCGCGCGGTGATGAAACATTGTTTTTTATGGGAGATGTGGGGGCTGGTCAAGGTGTACTAGATGTACTGGATGTTGGCGCTGCTCTAGAAGCTGTTGGCGCTGCTCTAGAAGCTGTTCGACGGATTATCTCAACTCCCTTTTCATGGATTTCGATAATTTTTACAGTTTTCTCTTAGTTGGAACGCACATTTCTCAGAGATCAGATTAATCTTTTGAGAAAATTTTTGAACTTGATTGGAGTGGAGTGGAGTGTAGTGGAAAATACGTGGAATTGTGAATTGGCACTTTAAAATGCTAGGAAATGTTATGTGCATTCCAACTTAGAGCAAACTGTAAAAATAATAGCATCTTGTCTTGCTATTTCTTGATCTAGACTCACGAAAGCTGTTCAGGCTATTATCTCGCTTTCCGTTTGATGGATTTTGATAATTTCTGTAATTTTCTCTTAATTGGAACGCACATAAGATTTCCGAGATTCAAGAGGGACAAGGTGCGTTGAATTGCTGTCGTTAAATTGCTATCGTTAGATTGCTGTGGCTGAATCGTTGAAATAAACTTTTTAAAATTAAACAGTAATGCCAGAGCAAAGGCCAGAGCAAAGACAAGAGTTCTAGAAAGGCCAATTAGAAAAGCTCATCTGAAAGAGGTTTGTTCTAAGGTTTGAAAAGCAATTTGTTTTCGATTGTCCAATGGTTTTGGACTCGAAACTTTGCCGGTGGTTCTAGAATGGTTTCAAGGTTTGTGCTGATGGAATCGTTGCTCTGTAGATGCTTTTGAATCACTTTATAGATATTGATGTTTTCGACGTTTGCTTGCTGCCGTTCTTTGATTCTAAATCCGACACGACCGCACGTCAATTCATTCAGCCGGAAACATCCGTGACTGACTGAAGAAGAGGAAGAGGAGGAAGAAGAAGAAGAAGAAGAAGAAGAGGAAGAAGAGGAAGAAGAAGAGGAAGAAGAGGAAGAAGAGGAAGAAGACGAAGAAGAAGAGGAAGAAGAGGAAGAAGAGGAAGAGGAAGAAGAAGAAGAAGAAGAAGAAGACGGCCATGGATTTGGATTTGATTCGATTTTGGAACGGATTTGATTCAGGTAGGGTACTCTTTTTGGACTAGATGGATCAAAGCAAAGTCTAGACTAGATACAGGTGATTTGGTTTACAATTAGTCTTGTTCAAGTGCCTGATTGATCTGAGCAGATCAGGCAAGAGGCAAGTTAGGCAAGCTAGGCCAGGGAAGAGCCAATGAGGCAAGCTAGACCAGACAAGCTAGACCAGACAAGCTAGACCAGACAAGCTAGACCAGACAAGCTAGGCCAGACAAGCTAGGTCAGACAAGCTAGACCAGACAAGCTAGACCAGACAAGCTAGGCCAGACAAGCTAGGCCAGACAAGCTAGGTCAGACAAGCTAGACCAGACAAGCTAGGCCAGACAAGCTAGGTCAGACAAGCTAGGTCAGACAAGCTAGGCCAGGCAAGCTAGGTCAGGCAAGCTAGGTCAGGCAAGCTAGATCTAGCCTATCCCTTGTCTTCTAGACACTTAGTTCGTGTACTAGGTACTTTGACAAAGAACTAGAAGAACTTGATCTCTAGCTTGGTTGATCCAGAGAATCAGTGTCAGAGGAGCTAGATTATCAGAGCTAGCTGATAATCTAGCTCCTCTGGAATTGGAGATTGTTAAAGGATAAGCTTGAAGGGATGTCAAGACAAAGAGTAAGAAAAAGGCAATTAAATGAAAAGCTCAAAAGCTGGGAAAAGCGATGAATGGAAAGCAAGCATTTCAAGCCATTCCTGCCGGGTTTTATCATCACAAAATTGTTTTCAAAACTTTTCGTGAAGCATTTCCGTTTGAATAGAGAATTGGAGACAATCGCAGACAATTGCTCACCCCTTTCTTCCTCTTTTCGTCATGAATTGCAGCAAAACTCTTCGTCATTCTTTTTAAATTTAAAAAAGAAAGCTTTAAATGATCTTTTTTATCATTTAAATCTTTTTAGAGTTGTAAAAATAGCTGTAAAGAATCCAAATACGATAAAATACAATAGAAATACTCTAGAATCCCTCTAAATACTTTTGAATTGTCATGTGCGTTCCAACTTAGAGCAAACAGTAAAAATAATAGCCTTTTGCTTTGAGATTTCTTGATCTAGACTCATGAAAGGTGTTCAGGCTGTTATCTCGCTTTCTGTTTGATGGATTTCAATATTTTCTATAATTCTCTCTTAATTGGAACGCACATGACATTTCCAAGGAATCAGATTAATTTTTTGAGAAAATTCTTGAACTTGATTGGAGTGTAGTGGAGTGTAGTGGAAAATGCGAGGAATTGTGTATTGACACTTTAGAATGCTAGGAAATGCTGTGTGTGTTCCAACTTAGAGCAAACAGTAAAAATGATAGGCTATTGCCTTGGTATTTCTTGATCTAGACTCATGAAAGGTGTTCAGGCTGTTATCTCGCTTTCTGTTTGATGGATTTCGATAGCTTCTGTAATTTGTTCTTAGTTGGAACGCACATGACATTTCAAAGGAATCAGATTTTCTAAGAAATCAGATTGGCTAAAAGAATATCAAAAGTTCTCCAGCTGATAGTTTATTTCTCTAAAAGTATATGAAAGATTTTTTCTTCATTTCTTCATTTCTTCATTTCTTCATTTCTTCATTTCTCTTCATTTCTCTTCATCGATATTTGCAAGCGCTTCGATAAGCTTCTCATAGATCTCAACGCCACGTAAATAAACCTAGATTGAAAATATTAGAAAAACAGGGAATAAATGGGAATATCTTTGCCCGGTCAATCAAAAAAAGAAGCTATATTCTTGGTGTGGCTTTAGTTTTGCAAAGAGAAGACAATCTAGAGTATAGAAGGGCTTTTAGATTGATTAGATTTAGAGATTCGATTGATTTTTATCAATTTTAAACTATTTTAAATGAAAAGGGGATTCAAATCGCAGTCGATACTCAAAGAATACGTTTATTTAAAGAACATTTACAATTGCTAGAGAGATTTGATTGATTTATTGAATAGGAGAAATATAGAAGCTGAAATTGGCTCTATTATTGTGCAAAAGAGAGTTTGGGTCCGGTATTGCTTGATGTCACAATGATACAATGATGACAATGACGACAAGGTCACAATGACAACAATGTCACAATGACGACAAGGTCACAATGACGACAATGTCACAATGACGACTATGTCACAATGACGACAAGGTCACAATGACGACAATGTCACAATGACGACAATGTCACAATGACGACTATGTCACAATGACGACAATGCTCCAATGACGTCAATGCTCCAATGACGACAATGCTCCAATGACGACAATGCTCCAATGACGTCAATGCTCCAATGACGTCAATGCTCCAATGACGTCAATGCTCCAATGACGTCAATGCTCCAATGACGTCAATGCTCCAATGACGTCAATGCTCCAATGACGTCAATGCTCCAATGACGACAATGCTCCAATGACGTCAATGCTCCAATGACGTCAATGCTCCAATGACGACAATGTCACAATGACATTGACCCACTTACAATTTAGCCAAATTATTACATTCCATAGTGAGAGTGATAATGAATAGATAGTTCTTTGTATTACATTCATTTCCGTGTCCTCTTTTTGTCATCATATCTTTATTACTTTGTTTTAAGCATCCCCATTCCCTGTGATACCAGAGGCCTACGCCCAAGCTTGAGACTAAGCCAGCCTAAGCCAGCCTAAGCCAGCCTAAGCCAGCCTAAGCCAGCCTAGGCCTAACCTTTTATATCTTAACTTCCAGACACAAGAGGGACCTGAAATTTTGCAAGCATAATCTCCTTGGGTCCCAAAGCCTAAGGGCAATGGGGTGTCCCTTAGCTCCCGGAACTGGCTGAGATCCGGGAAATGGGGGTTCAGCCCAAACCCAAATAGACTTAGTGCGAGGCGCTAGCCGCTAGCCTTCGCACTAAGTCCAAGCCAGCCCAAGCAAGCCTAAGCCAGCCCAAGCAAGCCTAAGCCAGTCTAAGCCAGCCTAAGCCTAAGTCCAAGCCAGCCTAAGCCAGCCCTAAGCCAGCCCTAAGCAAGCCTTAGCCAGTCTAAGCCAGTCTAAGCCCAAGTCCAAGCCAGCCTTAGCCAGCCTAAGCCAAAGCTCTTTGCTTTAGCTTGAAAATTTCGACTTATTTCCTAGTTCAGAAACATTTTGTATGCTTATTTATTTTTGTTATTATTATGATTTATGTTTGAATGTTAAATGAACTACTTTGTTATTAAAAACATATTGATTCGAGAATGAGCGAATTCAAACCCCTTTTTCCCTTTTGAAAACCTAGATAAAAGATGTTTAAAATTGAACGATATTAATAAAATCTGAATCTGAATTTGTGGGGAAAGCTGGGGGGGGGGAAAGATTTGGAATTGCTTATAATCTTTATACAGTACCCTTTCATTTAGAAACTCATCGTGATCGTGCAAGAGGCATTGCGTGTTGATGATTGGCGAGAAGCCGATCGAGCGATAGCCTTTCTGGAAACGATTTTCTGGTGTCAGCCTTAAATTAAAGCTTTATGACGTAAATCCTCTAGAAACAGGCACCGAAAAGGATGACGAATGAAGGATGACAGGCGATAAGGCATCACCATCATCGTATCATCGTCATCATCATCGTCATCATCACATCACCATCATCGAGTTGCTCAATGATGGTGATGTAAAGATGGATTCAATGATTGATAGATAAAAGTAGACTATAGGAAGCGCTATAGGAAGTACTATAGGAAGTACTATAGAAAGTACTATAGGAAGTACTATAGGAAGTACTATAGAAAGTACTATAGGAAGGGCGTTGAAGCCGCGAAAACTCGACTTTTCCCGTTTTTTCGGTATCTACGTTAAGAAAGTTAAAGAAAAAGTGGTTTTGAGGTGGAAAAAAAGTCGTTTTTCTTCTCAATCATAGCCAAATCTTTTCAAAAAAACCTCTCGAATCAATCCCGAATCAGTGCCCGCTGGGAAGATCTCATTTCTGAATGTGCAGCGTCTAAAAAAATTGAATGATATTGGAAAAAATTAGTATAATTTCTATGAAAATATCTAGATATTAGAATTTGATCTAAAGAGTAGAGAAAAAGGTACTTTTCAGTTATACATCCACAAAGACTCCATCTCGGTTAAGCATCAGGTAAAGCATCAGGTAAAGCATGAGGTTAAGCATTAGGTTAAGCATCAGGTTAAGCATCAGGTTAAGCGAGTCTTCTCGGTTATCGATTTTCATTCGACAGATCTGATCACTTCAGGCGAGATCAAGCAACTTCACTGAACATCACTGAACATCACTGAACATAATCACCCCACACAAGTTGTCAGCTCCTTGCTTAACCGAGTTGAGTCTGGATGTATAACCGACAGGTAGCGAGGAAAAGTTTTTCCGTTAAAAGTCCGTTAAAACTGACTCCTTTTTAAGGACATTTTCGAATGCTTCCCAGAAAGGATCACCAGCCATATGCGGAGTCATATTCTTGAAGGTTTTATGCTGAAATCGAATGTTTTTTATCGATAAATTAACATGTAGAGATTAGAATGAATAGATTAGAATCGTAGATTAGAATAGATAGATTAGAATAGATAGATTAGAATAGATAGATTAGATTAGATGGATTAGAATAGATGGATTAGATTAGATTCGATCCAGATCAGATCCAGATCCAGATCCAGATCCAGATCCAGATCCAGATCCAGATCCAGATCCAGATCAGATCCAGATCCAGATCCAGATCCAGATCCAGGTCCAGATCAGATCCAGATCCAGATCCAGATCCAGATCCAGATCAGATCCAGATTAGATCCAGATCCAGATTAGATCAGATCCAGATTTCCCTTTAGATTTACCAATATAAACTCGATTTTCGTTCCCTTTCCCGCTTTCTGTGCCCATTCGTTAATCTCTTTCTCTAAAGCGTCAAAATCGACTGTTGGCGGGACACGAATGTCGAATTCTAAAAGATAAACGAGTGAAAATGATTTAGCTTTAATCCTAGCTAACGATTTCAATTGTAGATTTGTTTTTTTTTTGTCTCAAAACTTCTAAACAACAAACCACACTCGAAATCGGCTGGCACAACATTTGTCTCAACACCACCCTAAACATTCAATATCATATCGTAATCATTTAAATAAAAGCTATTTTGTTTATACAATTTGATAGAGAATAAGATTTCCTATCAAATGATATCAAAAATTAATCTTAAAATCAAATATCCATGTAAAGTTGTTGGCTAAAAATCGAAACCTCATCCATTACAAACAATTTGCTTCATAACTTTTGATGGATATTATATTTTAAATTCATTTTATTATCCATTCAATGCAGAATTTTATTCTTTATCAAATAATAGTTTGGTTTTTGGTCAAACAAAAGGTTATTGCTGTGAAAAAAAAAACCCTTAAATTTCGAATAGTAAAAAAAAGAATTGTTTTTGTTTTTGTTCAAAATCGTTTCAATAGCCTTTTCTTATCTACTTTTATTTCTTTCTAAGTAAAAAGTTTCTATTTTTTTTATTTAGATCTTTCGTTATATGAAGATGAATCAAAACAAGAGGAAAGTGAGGGTTTTTGTGTTTATTTTAAAGTCTAACTGTTATTTAGGATGCTGATAATCAACAAAAGCTGGACAAGGAGCTGGACAAAGATGCTGACAATCAACGAGAGCTGGACAAGGAGCTGGATAAAGATGCTGACAATCAACGAGAGCTGGACAAGGATGCTGACAATCAACGAAAGCTGGACAAGGATGCTGACAATCAACAAAAGCTCGACAAGGATGCTGACAATCAACAAAAGCTGGACAAGGATGCTGACAATCAACAAAAGCTCGACAAGGATGCTGACAATCAACAAAAGCTGGACAAGGATGCTGACAATCAACAAAAGCTCGACAAGGATGCTGACAATCAACAAAAGCTGGACAAGGATGCTGACAATCAACAAAAGCTCGACAAGGATGCTGACAATCAACAAAAGCTGGACAAGGATGCTGACAATCAACAAAAGCTCGACAAGGATGCTGACAATCAACAAAAAGCTGGACAAGGATGCTGACAATCAACAAAAGCTCGACAAGGATGCTGACAATCAACAAAAGCTGGACAAGGATGCTGACAATCAACAAAAGCTCGACAAGGATGCTGACAATCAACAAAAGCTCGACAAGATCCTTGACGATTACGAGAAAGCTCTAGTGGATTGATATGAATCAAATGAAGGGCCGCAAATGAATCAAATGATGACCTTCTTTCGTTTCAAGAATGTCAATCAACAAGTAAGTGAAGCTTTTTATCGTTAAGCATGTTTGGATTTTGATTTTAAAGAGATTTCAAGAATTTGCAAAAAATCGTTTCAATAGCCTTTTCTTATCTACTTTTATTTCTTTTTAAGTAAAAAGTTTCTATTTTTTTATTTAGATCTTTCGCTATATGAAGATGAATCAAAACAAGAGGAAAGTAAGGGTTTTTGTGTTTATTTTAAAGTCTAACTGTTATTTAGGATGTTGACAATCAACGAGAGCTGGACAAGATCCTTGACGATTACGAGAAAGCTCTAATGGATTGGCCATCCCGTAAATGAATCAAATGAAGACCTTCTTTCGATTCAAGAATGCCAATAAAGCGAGTAAGTGAAGCCTTTTAATGTTGGATTTGAAGAAATGAGGTATTGATTTTTCTGTTTAGTCTCCAATGATGCTAAAGGAAGCCTTTACAAGCCAAATACAAACGTTTTCGACAAACTCGCCAACCAAATGCTTTCTCAAGCTGCTACTGCTCCTCTAAAACGACCTCCAACCGGCATTCTTGGCTTTGAAGAAGCAAAAAAAATTAGCTGCAGAAAGGGTTGGTTGTTATTTTTATTGTTTGATTTCAATTTTCTAATATTTTTTTTTATTTAGATCTTTCGCTATATGAAGATGAATCAAAACAAAAAGAAAGTAAGAGTTTTTGTTTATTTTAAAGTATAGCTGTTATTTAGGATGCTGACAATCAACAAAAGCTGGAAAAGATTTTTGGCGATTACGAGAAAGCTCTAGTGGATTGACATGAATCAAATGAATCAGATGAATCAAACGAATCCAATGAATCAAACGAATCCAATGAATCCAATGAATCCAATGAATCAGATGAATCAAACGAATCCAATGAATCCAATGAATCAAACAAATCAGATGAATCAAACGAATCAGATGAATCAAATGAATCAAGTAAAGACCATCTTTCGATTCAAGAATGCCAATAAAACAAGTGAAGCTTTTTATCGTTAAACATGTTTCGATTTTGTTTTTGAAGCAATGATTTGTAGCAAATTGGATTCATTTTTCTAAATTAATAGTATTAATAGTCTCCAAAGATGCTAAATATTAACAATTTCGATAAATTTACCAATATAATGCTAAAGAAAAGCTACTATTGCTTGAAAAGCTACTATTGCTTTGAAAAGCTATTGCTTTAAAAGCTACTATTGCTTTGAAAAGCTACTATTGCTTTAGAAGCTACTATTGCTTGAAAGACTATTGCTTTGAAAAGCTACTATTGCTTTAAAAGCTACTATTGCTAGAAAAGCTACTATTGCTAGAAAAGCTAGTATTGCTTTAAAAGCTAGTATTGCTTGAAAAGCTACTATTGCTTGAAAAGCTACTATTGCTTTGAAAAGCTACTATTGCTTGAAAAGCTACTATTCTCAAAAACCACAAATCACCCACTTTGATCATCGTCAAATTTAGCGTTGTCACATCTCCTAGTGTTTTCGTCGGATCCGATTCAAGGAGCACTTTTTGCGATTCGCGAAATTTGAGAGCACTATTCAGAAAAGAAAGCTAAAGAAGGTTTTTAACTGAATGAATGAATTGTAAACCATTTTCTCAGCCGCCGAATTGTCGATAATTCTCGATCCATGACCGGGACGACCAGTGAATGAGACGCGAATCCCTGGAAATGAGTGATGAACAAAAGAACAAAAGAACAAAAGAATCATGTGCATCATGTGACGTGAGTTCCAACTTAGATAAATCAGCAAAAATAATAGCATCTTCTATTGACATTTCTTGATCTAGACTCACGAAAGTCGTTCACGCTATTATCTCGATTTTCGTTTGATGGATTTCGATAATTTCCATAATTTTCTCTTAATTGGAACGCACATAATATTCAAGAGATATTCAATCGATTCAATCTTTTTCTCAATAATTTCAATAATTTCAATAATTTCAATAGTTTCTCAAGTGTCATACACCATTTGCATCTTTCTGCATAGTAGACACGATAAATCTGATCTTCCGATGCCATTCCCTCATCCAGAACAAAGCCGATGTTGAGTTTCTAGGGAAATTTTGAATTTCGATCAAAATATTATCGATTTAATTAAAATAAATTTTTACCTGAAATTCTTGACTCTCCAAAAATTTCTCCATTCCATTTCTACTGCCTCGTTCTTCGTCTGGTCCCCAAATGATATGAACATTTCTTTTGAATTCTTTGATTCCACGAGAGAAATGGCGTCGAATAGCTTCGAAGTATTGAATTCCATTTGATTTCATATCTTGTGCGCCTAAAATTGATTGAAAAAACGCTCGAGAACTTCCTCTAAATCTCTACGAATTCATTCTAGAGATTGCTGCAGCTCTGGATTGCTGCAGCTCGTTTAATTAAGTGTTCTATCGCTTAAACAAAAGCTTCTTCTTCTTTTTCTTCTTCCTCCTCTTCCTCTTCTTCCTCCTCTTCTTCTTCTTCAAACCTCTTCCATAAATATTTCCCTTTTCATCTTTATCCCCGGAGAAAGGGTCATGAGTCCATTTTTCCTGAAATTTTTTTTTGTCTAAAAGCTCGAATTTTTCTTTTATTTATAGATCAACAATGTAATTCAATGTAAATTATCTATTGATGATTATATATTGATGATTATATATTGATGATTATCTATTGATTATCTATTGATTATCTATTGATGATTATCTATTGATGATAAATCTTGAATCTATACAGAAAAAGATGAATTTTCATTTTTAAAAAAATCAATCGTTTTTATCTACAAATAACAGAAAGATGAGGCTAGACTGATGGAGTATTTCTAGATGGAGACGCATGGATTATTTTTGGATGGAGACGGACGGAGTATTTCTAGATGGAGACGGATTACTTCTTGATGGAGACGGTTGGATTATTTTTGGATGGAGACGGATGGATTACTTCTAGATGGAGACGGACGGATTACTTCTTGATGGAGACGGACGGATTACTTCTAGATGGAGACGGACGGAGTATTTCTAGATGGAGACGGACGGATTACTTCTTGATGGAGGCGATTGGATTATTTTTGGATGGAGACGGATGGATTACTTCTAGATGGAGACGGACGGATTATCCCTGGTCACCACAGAGTATTCAAGAATTACGGCCACTTTTCCTCTAGTGCGTAGCTCAGTTTAGAGTTAACCATTCCACGACGTTTTTTGATATTTTCACGGCTTATTTTCAACACTTCACTTCAATACTTTACTCAGAAACACAAAAAAAGCAATTTATCGAACTTCAAATCTCTAAATCAGTATCAAAGAGCAGTGTCTGTCCGTCTATCCGTCTGTCCGCCTGTCCGTCTGTCCGTCTATCCGCCAATCCGCGCGAGTTCTCGGCTCCAGCCCATTTTATATGCTTTTTAGTTTATTAGTCTTAGACTTCTATGTAGTTGTGCATCTCATATTTCGTTTTTTTTAAGAGTAAAGTCACGACACAGCCGAGAGTCGAACCCGGATCGTGTGAGCCGTAGAGGAGCGCGCTGAGGGACTGTGCCACGATGACAAAGTCTCTAAAACATCAAGCCAGAACGTGAAAACCAGGAAAAACGAATGCTAAACGAAATAAAGTAATTTTCTACTATTTGTCCCTTATCTTTACCAAACTAGCTACATGCCGAGGAGGCAAATCAAAGACAATTCATTTCCCCTACAAGACAATTCATTTCCCCCGTTCCCTGTAAACATGCGAAAGTATCCATTACCCGGTAAACTGGTACAACATCAGTGTGTGAGTGCAGAACGATTGCTGACAATTGTGGAGCTTTCCCGGGAATCGTCATCACCACAAATGGATATCCGGTGACTGGCTGTAAAATGATTCTTTAAGTGGTTAACAAGAAAAAAAAAACTCGTCTTTTAACTGTTTTAAACTACTTGTAAGTACTTGTACTTGTAAACTACTTGTAAGGTACTTTTCTAGAAGCTTAATAAGTCTAAAAGCTAGCTTAACCGAATCATATAAAATGCTTACCTCAACACGAACTCTCTCAATGCCCAATTCATCAGCCAACGCGAAAAGAAACTTCACACAGCTTTCTGTAATCGTTTTTTCATAAGATTGTTAACGAATTCAAATCCTACCATAATCCGGCTCAGGTTGATCAGTTCTTATTCGCAAGTATTCTCGGAATTTCGTCACAGCAATGTCCTCGTCACTCATTTCAACAGAATACAATCAGAACAATTAATGAATTGAAATGATATTTGTGTTCGAATCCTGCAATACTCTTGCACTTTGTTATTTTGATGCCTTTTCCATCCCGATCGTCGTAAACAAAAACACAAAAAAAAGCACTCAACCGGGGCCTTCAAAAGTTTAACTACGTAACACCCCGCCAAACTCTTCTTTTCAACGCAAATGTCTTCAGCAAATCGGCTGGGTGTTTATTTTGAACACAAAAGAATAAAGTATCACATGAACATAAATAACCAAAATAACCCGAATTTGTAAACACCGTATGGTCAAATTTTAAGCAAGAAATTTTGCAAAAAAAAAATACAAGATGAACTTTGGCCTAACAAAAAAACAAACAAGATTTACCACATGAATCGTTGTAAATCTCCGGGCTCATGCGACCACTCAAAAGGTTTGTACAAAAACATGTAGAAGAGAGGCGCGAAGACACAAATCTAAACAAAAAAATGTAGTAATCAAGTATAATGTCGCCGATAAATCAAGTTCACTTCTAAATCAAACTAACTTTAGTGATTTTCAAATAACAAATCAACAAAATTCACCTGGAAAAGCGCCTCCAATGTACACAAAAGCCTCGATCTCGTTTCGGCACTTAATCGCCACAAGACATATGGAATGATGAAATACCGAGGCTCGATTAGATGAGCGGGTAGAAGCTAAGAAAGGTTTCGATTTTTTAAGAAGCAAAATCCAACCACTGCAATCGTCGCCAAAGCAAAAAATAAACGCGCAATTGGTGTTACTCCTTTGCATAGTTGATCCACCGCATAAAAGCAAACGACATACACAGGGATTAATAATTGTCGATAAATTGGCTTTGAAAGAATCCATCTAAAGAGAAATGTATATTTGTAAATGTATAACTAACTGTACCTCCATAAGTAGAAGGGAACATGTCGATTATCTGCCAAAAGATACGGATGTGCCAACGAGAAATGGTGCACAATCAAGGCGATTGCCGCTGTAAAAAGCACAGTCCTCCATTGGAAAAACGATTGTAGAATCTAAATCATAAATAATGTTTAGATTTTAGTTATTGCTTAGAAAGTTATTGCCTCGAGATTCTCAAATTAATTTACGGGTTTTGCGTATTCCAGAAGCGAAAACGATGCTGTGAAGCAAGCAAAGACGCAGAAGTAGAGGAGCTGGCAACAATGAAACTGCGGTCGATGAGCATCTGGGTCGCCGAGCACAATACCGCCTAAAATATTCAACTCAGTCATTTTAATAAATTATAGCATTTGCAAACTACACTTTCCAAAAAGCCTTTCTTAAATTCTTACCATTTTTCACAACAAATGCCAAAAATCCACCAGCGAGAAGAATAAAAGGCCATAAATCTAGACAACCTAAAAAGAATTGCCAAATAATCAACGATGAATAATCACCCTTCAGCAAAGATTTAACCAATTGTTCTTTCTTGATATTCTTGCAAAGATCAAGCGCTGCGAATAAACCTAAAAGTGATTTACATTTTAAAAAAACCCCAAAACCAACCAGCCCAAACAATGTTGGTTTGTCGACAGAATAGCGAGAGTCCAAAGAAAAACGCGACGATGTACTTGTTTGTCGAAGAGAACGCCCAAAGCACCAGCGTCAGCGAGAGAAGATCCGTGTAGAATAATAGCGAAGAGTGGAAGAGAACCTTAAACAACAATTGAAGCTTAAAAGCTATGTAAGTTGTAAGAGCCATAGAAGCTAACAAAGCTAACAGAACAAAGCTAACAAAGACGAAAGCCAACAAAAACTAACCGGAAGTAGCACAACGGATAACGCTGGGACCAGCACCGTTTCGCCCTCACCCGTAAACATTGCACGAAATCGACAAGCACCTAAATTTCGTTTTCTAACTTTTTGAATACAAATACTAACCAATGAACGTAAATGGAAGCAATATTGAGTTAATGTATCGTTCATGGCCACCACACAATGGCATCGATATGATGTAAAGCAGCGGAGGAGTGGTGATCATTGGGTCCCACGTGTAGTCGCCATCACAATATCTTAAAAAAACTTTGATTAGATGAAGCAAAGTATCGGAATATTTGCTAGATTTAGTAGCAAATTTGACGATCACAGATGACCAAATAAAAAAAATAAATAATCTCTCTCACCTTCTCGTTTGTCGTATGTGAAAAATTTCGTCCATGTATGGGTTTGGCACAATCTTGTTGACAACTGCAACCATCAGCGCGTGTATTGTGCCGAGTGCGAGAGCGATCGTCCATTCTAAATATCCAATTTCACTTCAAGTACAAAGAAATAACTTCTAACTTCTGATTTGTTTTTTGCTGACTTTGACCGACAGCTGATTCCACACACTCTCAATTGCTTTAGTATGAACCCCTGACAGGGTTCACAAAGTTTTGACTGTCATCTATAAGTAGTCTTGAATGTTGTTAAAAGTTGCGAAATGTTGTGTGAAACCAATCGATTCAGCATAGGCAAAAACCCCGAAGTGCAAAAAATCACCTCATTTGGCTCATTTGGCAAAAATCAGCTCAAAAAATCCCCAACTACTACAGCACTTTCCGATGTTCATATTCGATCGTCAATTACACTCGGCACACTAGTCAAAACAATTAATAGAGCTAGGGTCATAGTTATCTGCGCTCTAGCATCATTACGTCTCTTAGTATTAATTTTAAACGACCTCATTCTTGTCAATTATTTTAGACTTTGATTTCAAACTATAAATTCTCCTTAACAACAAGCATTGGATTAGAAGCATTTTTGGTACTAATAAACTTCGCGGGGGGCACTTTGATCTGATTTGATCAGATTGTTTTGATTTTTTGACTGTTTTACCAACGTTATTTTACTTTTTCTGGAGGTAATCAAGAATGATGAATCTATTGATGATATTTTTAGAAAGTTTTGAACAATTTTTATTGATATTTTGATAAACTAGTTAGAGTTTTACCTCTGCAGTGTTGCAAAGCTTAAAAATGAAGCGAAGAGCAAAATACAAAGATAACTTGTTCAAAATATTCTAAAAATATCGTCAATTGGTTAAGCGTATTCGATTATTTCAGAAAATGTAAAAGAAGATTAGAGAGAACATGAATAGAATAGGGTTTTACCAAGTCCAGTTTTACCCGTTTTACGGATATCGGATATAAAAGAATCAAGTCTAAGAAGCGGGTCAAAGTGGCTCCCGAAGTTTATTAGTACAGCTTTAACTAACTTTAACTAACTTTAACTAACTTTAACTTTAACTTTAACTTTACCAGAGCTGAATTAACTATATGAAAGCACAAACCTTTATTGATTCCAGTGCTTTTATCGGTTTTTTCTTGCAGTTGAGTCAGCATTTGGTTTTTTTACCTAAAAATGAAAGCATTAGAAGATCAAAGCATTAGCAAACCAAAGCATTAGCAGATAAAATCATTAGAAAATCAAAGCAGATCGTAAAATCAAAGCAGATCGTAAAAATGCTCTAAAAAGTAGAAGCGCAATCAAAAATGGCTAAAATAGATTTTGGACTTTTTTTATAAGAGCATTCTTTGAAAGCAAAATTTCAGCTGCTGAAGCTGAATATCTTTTCTTATCTGAATAAATGATATTAAAGAATCAAGTCTAAAGCAAAAGTTTTAGCTGCTAAGCTGAATATCTTTTCTTATCTGAATAAATGATATAAAAGAATCAAGTCTAAAGCAAAATTTCAGCTGCGAAGCTGAATATCTTTTCTTATCTGAATAAATGATATAAAAGAATCAAGTCTAAAGCAAAATTTCAGCTGCGAAGCTGAATATCTTTTCTTATCTGAATAAATGATATAAAAGAATCAAGTCTAAAGCAAAATTTCAGCTGCGAAGCTGAATATCTTTTCTTATCTGAATAAATGATATAAAAAAATCAAGTCTAAGTCTAAGTCTACGTCGGTTATAGAGCGCTGTTCGCCCTTCACGCCGAGAAAAGAAGAAACTCTATCCGGTGCCTTTTGACCGTATTTCTCTCTAACAAGATTTCGATAACCTCCTTGAACAATTTATGCTTGACAACCTTTTCTTGTCTGTTTTTACTTTATACTTACGATTATAGCTTACAATTATAGCTTACGATTCTAGCTGACGATTCTAGCTAACGATTATAGATTACACAAAGCTCCCGCTATATGAAGACGAATGAATCGAAACAAGAAGAAAGTAAGGGTTTTTGTGTTTATTTTAAAGTATAAGCTGTTATTTAGGATGCTGACAATCAACGAGAGCTGGACGAGATCCTTGGCGACTACGAGAAAGATCATAGTGGATTGGCCATCCCGCAAACGAAGACTTTCGTTCGATCCGACACCGTGAATGCCAATAAAGCGAGTAAGTGAAGCCTTTTTGGATTTGGTTGGATTTGAAGAAATGACGTATTAATTTTTCTGTTTAGTCTCCAATGATGCTAAAGGAAGCCTTTACAAGCCAAATACAAACGTTTTCGACAAACTCGCCAACCAAATGCTTTCTCAAGCTGCTACTGCTCCTCCAAAACGACCTGCAACCGGCGTTCTTGGCTTTGAAGAAGCAAAAAAATTAGCTGCAGAAAGGGTTGGTTGTTATTTTTATTGTTTGATTTAAATTTTAATTCCAGGCTAGAAAAATGATGGAAGAAGCGGCAAAGTCAAAGATGTTAGAAGGACCGATCACTGTCATTCCACCGTCAAGTCGACCCCCAAAGCCTGGAAAAAAGGCCGAACAAATGAAAAGCAAGATGAGCAATTTGGAAATGTTCAAGCTGGAACTTCAAGCGTATTTATAATTTTGTCTTCGTAATGATTGCTGATTATTAGACAACAACAGGAACGCGATAAGCGAAAAGATTTGAGAGAGCATTTGGTGAAGAATGTTGGTGAGTTTTTTGTTTTTGTTTTTGTTTGACTTGCAATTAAATTCAATTCAGGTCTTGATCTAACAGAAGTCGATCGAATAGCTCCACTGGTGGAAAATCCATACATGCGGCCAGTAGGAGAATTTGATTTGGACACAGAAACGTCAAATTTATATGTTTGCAATTTGCCATTGGATGTAAGGCTTTTTATTTATACATAAATTGATTGTTTTAGATTACGATAGACGAATTAGTCGATATATTCGGATCGTACGGACCTTTGGCGTCAGCCCGCGTTCTTTACCCCAGAAATGAAGCTGAGAAGCTAAGAGGTTGGATTAAGATGACTCTTTATAGGACATTTAATTGTACTTTAGGACATTTAATTGTACTTTATAGGACATTTATGTGGCTTTGTCGGTTTCATGTCACGCATTGATGCAGAACGTGCGATGAGTGGCCTAATGGGTCTCACGATTCGCGGTGATATCATCAAATATAGCTTTGCAAAACCGGTGCCAATTCCGCCTCAGGTTTGGTAATTAGTTTTTGTTTTGATTAAGAGAGTTTAGCCTTTCTATGTGCCGCCACCACTGCAACAATACATGTTTCCCGATCCACCGACAGGACTTCCATTCAACGCTAAACCACGTGAAACGGATATGAAAGAGTACTTGGCCGAGTTCAAGACGTTGGCCGAAGTTGGTACTCTGCCGACAGACGAAAAGGCGAAGACGAAATTCCGCAAGGTTAATACCGTTTTTTTTCACAAATCTTTTCTAACTTCAACCCATTCTTAGTAAGTTTGGAGGTTAATTTTTAACATACACTAATTTTTTCTTATCATTACACAAAAGTTATGCTACAGATGTTGAAGAATGCTGTCGTACGAGTATTGATTCCAACCGATAGGTAGGTTTTCGCTCTTTGGAGAGCGGGATCGACACTGACTACTGGCCGACTGTGATGGAGATTCTGTTTTGTGGCCATGTTCTTGAGAAATGATTTTATAACTAATTTAAAAAACATGAAACAAGCCCATTTTGAGAGCATTAGGGAGAACATGCCAAGTAGTATTTTAGACGAAACGACGCGTAGTTGACTATTTTATTTAATCCATTTAGTACGATCATCTCTGTGATTCATCGAACGATCGAGTTTGTGATTCGGCACGGGGCTATGTTCGAGAAATTGTTGCTTGATAATGAAGGACACAATGAAATCTATCAGTCAGTTTTTAGGCAACCTTGTTTTACATACGAAGTGATCTAGATTTTTGTGGAACTTTCACCATCCAGCCCACGTATATTATCGATGGAAGCTGTACTCAATTTTGCAAGGAGATGAGCCATACAAGTGGAGAACTCAACGGTTCAGGTAGGCTCATAATTTGGTTAAACGGGTACCGTGAAGAAGAAGGAACAATGTATTTAACGATTTTTAATGTTTAGAATGTATGAAGATGGCTCATGGTGGGAACCTCCACAAAAGCCGGGAACGGAATTTAGCTGTATGCCGAGAAGTCTTTATCACACTGCATTTAGTATTCCGAAAATCGAGGTTTGATGTTTTAAAGATGGCTTTAAAATTCTTATGAATTTAGAAACCTGAAATGCCTGTTATAAAAGCCGAAGATATTGCTACGTCAAGGAAAAGAAAACGCATTGAAGAGGTAAAACGAAACGATAAAATAAAAAACAAAGGTTTTTAGAAACGCAAGAAAGAGCTTCGACGTAAAACACGACTTCGGAGCAAAGATCGTGATCGTCTTGAAGATATTCTGCGAAATTTGACGCCAGAGAAGCAGAATGTGAGTTGAATAAGCGTCATGAACTCAGAGCTTCACTAAAATACTGATTTTAGATTGCTAAAGCAATGATTTGGTGCATCGATCATGCTGTTGCTGCGAAAGAAATTGTCGACTGTGTCGTTGAAGCGTTGTCGATTGATGAGACTCCTTTACACAAAAAGGTGATTGTGACTTGCTGTAATAACAATGTTTCATTTTGAGATTGCTCGACTTTATCTCGTATCTGACATTTTGGCCAATTCTGCTGTTCAAGTTGGACAAGTCTTCTATTACCGCCATTATTTTGAGGAAGCGTTTACTAAAATCTTTGTGGTGGGTTAAATCGATTTTTTTGAAAAGTTATAACGTTTATTTTAGGCAATGGGCCGTGTGCTTAGCGCCATCGGCGCAAGACTTAAAGCCGAACAATACAAGCAGAGGTTGGTTAATCAATTTTTTTCTATTAATCACTAAGAATTTAGAGTGATGGCTTGTTTTCAAGCATGGGAACAGACACAGGTTTTCTCAACGACGATGCTTATTCACAATCAAAATATTTTCCTGGGACTAATTGAGGTTTGTTAAACTATTTAAGTTAAACCTATTTAAGTTTGGTCATAAAATATCTGTTTAGGCACCAGAAGAAAAGAGCTCATCGGCAAGCTCCTCTTCTGATTCGGATTCGGATAAAGAACCAGTAAAGAAAATTAAACAAGAAATTGTCGAGGAGGAAAACGAAGAAGATTTGGATGGTACACCGTTGGATCAAGTGCCACAAGTAATACTTATACTTATCTTTGAAAAGCTAAGCTAGATTCAGAGTGCTACCTCGTTTGAAACAATTGAAGAGGAGCCAGAGAAAAAGCCACAAGGAGGGTTCAAGAAAGGAGGCTGGGCTGAGGTTGATTTGATTAATTGGCTTGATTTTTATTTGTGATTTAGGTAGAACCGACTACCGAGCCATCAATACTTTCCAAGTGGGATTATGAGGAAGATGATCGGGCAGGTTTGTTTGTTTTTTCATTCAAATACCTATGTTTTACGTTTTAGGACTTTCAAAGTGGGAAGCTGTAAGTGTTCGGCAGAGGAACGAGAAGCCTGTGGATCCAAAATCAAGTAAAATGGAAATGAAGTTAATTGTGAAAAAGCGTTAATATTCAGCAGCGAGTCATTCAAGTGAAGCTATGCCCGCCTCTACGTCTCAACCATCAGGGCAAGGATCAAAATGGGATGAGCCAGAAGATGATGGAATCTATTCTCCGGGTGAAATTGCGAGTCCCGAAAATGAGAAAAAGTTTGTTTATTTCGGGATAAGTTATTCATTATTTTTTTTAGTGGTGAGCAAAAGCCTGAATCGCAAGTAGTTTTGGAGAAACTAACCGCCGAATTGAAGGTACTGCGATTTTAAAAAGTTTTGAGTCATCAATGTACTTTAGGGTAAAGTCGATGCGCTAAGAAGACAACTGATTGAAGACCAAGATCCGGATTGTGAACTGATCGTTAAACGGTAAAGTTGTTTGATGAAATTACGGAAGTTTACGCGCATTTTAGTTTCGCAAGCGAACAAAATGAGAAAATACAGAAGGCTGTCCTGGAAATTGAGGCTCGTGAGACCGTAAGCTGATCTCTTTTTGCTACTCAGAATTCTGATTATAGAAATCACGTAAAAAGGACAGAAAAGAGACCAAAAAAGATCGTGAAAAGGATTCTCGATCATCAAAGACTGTGAACAATGATCGAGACAAGGAACGCGAAAGAGAGAGAGACCGAGATCGTGAAAGAGAGAAGGATAGGGATAGAAAGTTTGTTTTAAAAGCATATAAAATCAATTCACTTTTTAGGAGATCTCGTTCAAGAAACCGAAGTAGAAGCAGAGATCGGGACAATAGGCGAAGGTCATTTTATCTTATTAATTTTATCATTTGCTCCGTTTTAGTGATAGAGACCGAGACCGGGATCGTGGCAGGGACCGTCGTCGGAGCCGAAGCCGGAGTCGAAGTGCCGGCAGGTGTGCTTTTGACCTAATATATCTCAAATTAAGCTATCTAGGCACTTATTTTATAGCTCTTAGCTTACCGATTTCAAGGTTTAAACATTTCTTTTACTTCATTTCCAGTTTCAAATCCTTTTCTTTAGGGACCGTCGCCGTAGCCCGGATCGTCGACGTCGATAAGAATTGCCCCATTATTACGGTTATGTTATATTTTCTCTCTGTTTATTTAAAGCTTTTTATTTTGTGTTAGTAATTGTGATTTTGTTTGTGCGATGGTTATTTCATAAATTTCCTATTTGGCTAAGCAACACGATTTGCGTTAAAATCGCTTTATTCTTTTAAATAAACGGCCAAATGCTGGGCAGTCAATCATAAAAAAAGTCAATGATTCAGAAGAAAACAAAATTAGACTTCAAAAATTGTTTTAGATGAAAGAAAAGAGCGAAAAGAACACGATGGAACAGAACTTTTCAGGCATCCTATACTACTAGCGTGAGAAAAAGCAGATCCATAACCTTTTACAGACTCAAATCTAGAGCAATTTGGCGTTGTTTACTTTTGATGATGTCTTTGCCATTTGCTTTTTTATGTATTAAATCATTTTATTGCAGATTTTATTTTATTCACAGCACTTGCAAGAAATGAAACCAGAAAAGCGCAAAACAATGGAAATGGAAAACTTTCATCAAAGGGGAAATGATTGAAATTAGAAAATTAGAAAATTTCGGAATGCTCGATGGGTGAGTGATTGTGATCAAATCAAATCAAATTTAAGCGGGTAGATTATGAGCAAATCTGGAAGCGGGGATATTTTAGAATTTGGAAGTAGGTAAAAGCAATGATTAGAGAAAAATAGAGCATTGTATCCTTTGAATTCTCTAAATTCGATAGACATAGAAATAGAAAATAGAAATAATTCTATAAATTCGATTCATGGCTTTGATAGAAACTCCTCGAGCATCACCTCTTCTTGTTGAGCTCTCACTGTGTCCGAGGCTTGCACGGCTGGAGCTGGAAAAGAGGATTCAGAATGATAGAGGAAGTTGATATCATTGATATGATAAAGAGAGAGAGAGGAAGAGAAAGAGCAAGAGGAAGAACAAGAGGAAGAGAAAGAGGAAGAACAAGAGGAAGAGAAAGAGGAAGAGGAAGGACAAGAGGAAGAGAAAGAGGAAGAACAAGAGGAAGAACAAGAGAAAGAAGAAGAGGAAGGACAAGATGAAGAGAAAGAGAAAGAGGAAGAACAAGAGGAAGAACAAGTGGAAGAGAAAGAGCAAGAGGAAGAACAAGAGAAAGAGAACGAGCAGCGAAATTTAAAGAGAAAGAAGAAGAGAAAGTTGCGCCTTTTACAGCAAAACTGTCCCTATAATCGCGCGCTTTCTGTCAACTTGGGTAATTAAACCGGGCTAGAAGCCTTTTCGGTCCCTTCTACCGGGGCCGTGTGCCAGACGCCGTTTTTCTTTACGAGTGACGTCAAGGGTACACACAGAGAACAAAGTGCCCCACCAACTTTAACCCCGATTTTACCCCTTTAAACTCAACTTTTCCCTGATAAACCCAATATCTATTTTATAGGGTTTTTCATGGAGAATCTATTGCAAAAAGAATTAGCTTGTTTGGTTGGAAATTGACGATTTTATAGTGCTTTAAAGATTGAATGGCTTGAATGGAGAGATTTCGAGTTTAAACTAACAAAAAAAGACATAAATAGAGAAGAATAGAGAAGAATAGAAAGAAAATCAGCTTAATTATAAGTGTAAAGCTATGCAAATACGTTGCTAATATGTGAAAAATGTGAATTCAACTCTAAATTTCGAATTTTGATCAGTTAAACTTACGGGGGAAAACGCTTGGCGGTGGGGTGACGGGTGGGACGAGGCTCGCGACAACTCTCGCTCGTTCACGAATCAATTCCACCTGGAATTTCGAGGTAGAATTGAAGAGCTCTCTTCAAAGACAGCTCTCTTCGGCTCTCTTCAGCTCTGACCTCTTCTTCAGCCCTGACCACCATGCATAGACCCTCCAAATGAGCGAAAGCCAACTCGGTTTGATCGCAGAAACGTTGCAGCTTTTCAACCTATCATTTCCATATAGTGCACCAGAAAGATTTTGATTTGATGAGGGCACAAAGTACAGATCTCTTTCGTAAACCCAACCCTTCTAGTGCACTTGATTCTTTCCTTTCCCTATTCATTGCAGTTGTGGAATTCCTTTCCCAGTCGTGGAATTTAAAGTTAAAGGTTCAAAAAATGGACCTCGATGGCAGTACGGGGGATCGAACCCGGGTCGTGTGGCTTGTAGAAGAGTGCCCTCCCGACTACGCCATGTCGACTGAAAACCCTGCCAGAAAAAAGCCATGAAAACTCGCACAGTCGCCTTTGGAAGCGTGATTGTAACTTGCGAGTTGCGATTGCGCGACTTTTAGTGGCTTTCTTTATCGACCAGGCCCATGGTCGCCATAGCGCAGTCGGCAGCGTGTTGGCCTGTAGCCTACAAGATCCCGGTTCGTCCCTCCTTGCATAGCAAGTAGTTCCAATTTTTTGAATTTTTAACTTTAAATTCCAAGGATACAATATTCTAAGGTTTTCTAAAGAAGTTTTAGCTTTATTGGTTAAAAGAGGGTTGAGAAAATGCTTGCATAGATATATAGACTGTATACCGCTTGTCTACAGCCCAAACGACCCGGGTTCGATCCCCAGAAAGCTAAAAACCGAAAAACTGATTTCTATGGAAATTTTTTAGATATTCTATAGCTTTCTATAGGTTTCTATAGCTTGCTAGAGCTTTCTAAAGCTTTCTAAAGCTTTCTAAAGCTTTCTACAGCTGTCTATAGCTTGCTATAGCTTGCTAGAGCTTTCTAAAGCTTTCTAAAGCTTTCTAAAGCTTTCTACAGCTGTCTATAGCTTGCTATAGCTTTCTATAGCTTTCTATAGCTTTCTATAGCTTTCCAAAGCTTTCTATAGCTTCCTATAGCTTTCTATAGCTTTCTATAGCTGTCTATAGCTTGCTATAGCTTGCTAGAGCTTTCCAAAGCTTTCTATAGCTTTCTATAGCTTTCTATAGCTCTCTATAGCTTCCTATAGCTTTCTATAGCTTTGAACCTGTTTCCCGATCTCTCGTATCCTTTTATCAACATCCTGAATGGAGCGTAAGAAAGTGTCAATGTTGAGAACGGCGTCGGCTCGTTCCTGAATCGTTTTTACAAAGGAGAACATTGAAAAAAATGAATGAATCAACCAATCAATGAATTCTCATAATTTTCTTACAAACCCGACACATTTGTTGCGCTCTTCCGAGCCGTGTACTGCACAAATTCGCTAAACGGACTCCCTCATCGGAAACGGTTTGCATTTGATCCAGCTGGGTTTGATATCTTAAAAAAGACTATTGTAGATCTGGTTTGCGATGAATTATTAGTTCTTTTTATTTTTGTTTTATCAGTTTTCTCTTTCCTGATCCAAAACAGCTTGTAAACAGAGATTTCAAGCTTTTCAAGCATTTCAAAGTAAACTTTAACAAATAAAGAAGCTAATGCAGCAAGAAAGAAATCAAAGAACTAGCTTTTTGAACTTTTCTTTGCTAGATGGGATTTTGAGAGAGATCTGAAGACTAGTTAAGCTGTTAAGCCTGTTCAAACAGTCTGAATCGTCTAGATTGTCTGCTAGACTGTAAACCGATCATTCCCTTGTCCCATTCTTTCCAATTTTCCTTTTTAACTGTTTCCTTGAGAGAAATATTCAATAAAAAATTTTAGGAAAGTTTTTAAAAACTTCTGCACGAGTGGGATTCGAACTCGAGCTAGAAGAGAGCGATCGGTTTCGATAGCCTAGCTGCTTATCCACTAGACTATCGAGGACGTTGGCTAGGGGGCCTGTAAAGGCTTCTTAAGAAGCTCAGAGGTCGAAACTCAAGCTGTTGCCTTTCCCTTAACCATCCCTGTTCCAAGTGCAAGTCTAGAACCTTCAACTTCCCCTCCCTTCTTCCCTCTCCCTTCCTCCAACTTCCCTCTCTTCCTCCCCCTTCCCTCTCCCTTCCCAGATCTGTGATCATTCTCTTTATCTCCATCTATTTCCACGAAAGATCAAATGTCCGTTAAGGGGAGAGGGGGAAAATGACGATCTTCTCGTCATTCTCTCATCTTCTCGAGTCTCGAGGAGACTCATGGTCAAGGTCAAGTCTCTATTGGGGAAGGGCTTGTAGTTGAACAAAAAGAAATGAAATGGAAAGTGTCAATAGTGAGAATTTGTGGCTCTTTTCCTCAATTCTTCCTCAACAATCCTTGTTCGCCGTTTTTTCTTTCGTTTTAAAGATCGAATTGTCGTTTTTGGCCGTTTAAAGAAGAAATTCTCGTTTTTTGACCTTTTTTCTGTTTTTTAAAGATCAAATTAGACTGAGAATTGCTGAATTCCTCGCATTTCTAATATTGTTTTGCATTGTTTATAAATTTCCATAATCTGCTAGAGAAACTTGGGTAATTAAACCGGGCTAGGGGGCTTTTCCACGGCCATTACCCAGAGCCGTGTGCCAGACGCCGTTTTTCCTATGATCCACGTCAAGAGTACGCACACTTGGGCAATTAAACCCACCCGCGGCTCTTCTTGAGCAAGAAGAGAACACAGAGAACACACAGAGAACGCACAAATGCCCACCAAAAGAGTCGTGTGCCAGAGACTGTTTGTTCCTACCGAGACGTAAAATGCACACAGCTACGGTCAAATCGACCGAGGGGCTTTTCCACAGCCCTTACCCAGGGCCGTGTGCCAGACGCCGTTTTTATGAGCGACGTCAAGAGTACGTAGACTTGGGTAATTAAACCGGGGCACGGGGGGTTCCGACGCCCTTTAGCCAGAGCCGTGTGCCAGACGCCGTTTTTTCTTACGAGTGACGTCAAGGGTACGCACAGAGAACGTACCCCATCTCCCACCAACTTCAACCCCGACTTTACCCCTTTAAACTCAATTTTTCCCTGATAAACCCAATATCTATTTTATAGGGTTTTTCATGGAGAATCTATTGCAAAAAGAATTAGCTTGTTTCGTTGTAAATTGACGATTTTATGCCGATTTAAATGCTAAAGTGCCGCTGTTGGATTTGGGATACTGTAGCTGCTATAGGAAGCACTGTAGCACTAAATCTAACAATTGTACATTGGAAATTGTACATAGGAAAACGTTTTCTCTTCTTTTTTTTCACTAACTTCAACAACAAATCACTTCCAGCACTCGTGTTCACCAATTCGTTTATCGTTTCGACCGGGCATCTAAATTGGAATTCGATTTTGAAACAGTTTATAATCATTTAAGCAATAGATTAACTAAATAAGCTTCATTTTTAGTTTATAGATATTTATTAGCTTCATAGCTTAGCTTTTGGAAAGGATAAGACCTTTTCTAAGACTCCCTAAGCTTCCCAAAGCTTCCAAAAGCTTCCTTAAGCTTCCTTAAGCTTCCCAAAGCTTCCTTAAGCCTTCCAAAGTTTCCCAAAGCTTCCATAAGCTTCCCAAAGCTTCCATACGCTTCTCTAAGCTTCCTTAAGCTTCCAAAAGCTTCCCAAAGCTTCCCAAAGCTTCCAAAAGCTTCCATAAGCTTCCCTAAGCTTCCAAAAGCTCCCATAAGCTTCCCTAAGCTTTCATAAGCTTCCAAAAGCTTCCCAAAGCTTCCCTAAGCTTCCAAAAGCTTCCAAAAGCTTCCTTAAGCTTCCAAAAGCTTCCTTAAGCTTCCAAAAGCTTTCATAAGCTTCCATAAGCTTCCAAAAGCTTCCTTAAGCTCCCAAAGCTTCCCAAGCTTCTTAAGCAAAGAGAAATAGAAATTCTTGCTTTAAACAAACGAATTATTGAGGATAATAGCTCCTAAGCTCTAAGCTTTTCGAAAAAAAACTAATCAAAATGAATCAAAATGAAATAACAAACACTTCTGAAGGCCAAAGTGAAGCTAGCATTTAGAAGGAATAGCTAAATCAAATACAAATAGCTAAATCAAAACGATTTCTAGTCAATCAATCACCAATGAGTCAAAGAAATAAATCTGGGAAACAAGGAAATTGGGAAATAAGGAAATTTATTCAAATCCTCTTATCGATATCGATTTCTAAAGGGTTTTTCACGAAAATTTCATCAAAAAAATCACAAATTTTCCCCTTGAGCTTTCGTTTTTGGAATCTAAATCGAGATTTATAAGCTATAGAGATTTATAACCTCAAATCAACTCTGCTAAATAAACATGGAAAAGTTTGGGAAATTTTTGAAAGAGGAAAAACCAAGAGGGGGACCGAACCCGGACCTCACTATCAAGTGACCATCCTGCTATCCACTAGGCCATCAGTGCAGGTCTGGTAGCGAAGCCCCCTTTAAAGCGAAATTCAAAAAACGAAAAACCGAGACCGGGATCGAACCCGGATCTTACTAGCGAGAGGCCATCCTGCTATCCACTGGGCCACCGGTGCAATGCTTGACGACTAAAAAGTGTGCTTTAAAGCTTACCTTCAAAGCTTGGCTTCGATAAAAAGGGAACAAACCGACAGCGGGATCGAACCCGGGTCTTCCTACCGAGAAACTTTGGCAGTATCCACTGAGCCATCAGTGCTTGAGGGCTATCTAATAAAAAGTGAGCTTTAAAGCTTATCTTCAAAGCTTAGCTTCAATAAAAAAAAAACCGACGGCGGGATCGAACCCAGGTTTTCCGACCGAGAAAACTCCGCACCACCCACTGAGCCATCCGTGCATGTCGGCTCGTTGATAAAAAGCGTCCTTTAAAGCTTATCTACTCAGCTCTTCTTCAAAAAGGATAATTGAACTGAAATTTCGAAGATAAGCTTTAAAGGCCATTTTTTATTGGCCACTTGGCATGCACTGATAGCCTAGTGGATAGTAAGAGGGGTCTCTCAGTAGTAGCACCGGGGTTCGATCCCGGTCTCGGGCTTTTGCTTCTGTTCTCAATTTTTTTCAGCTTTTAAACCGAGATAATTCATTTATTGAAACTTCTCACCTTTGCACAGCCAGTGTCGGCGTCACATTCACTCGTAGACGTTCAACGCTAAAATTAGAAATAGAAATTGAATAGAAATAGAATAGAAAACTCTATTCTACAAATGAAAAGCACTCCCAAAAAGAAAAAAAAAGCAAAAAGAAAACAAAGCGAGCTTGAAGCCAGCTTGAAGCCAGCTTGTAAACAAAGCGAGCTTGAAGCCAGCTTGTAAACAAAGCGAGCTTGAAGCCAGCTTGTAAACAAAGCCAGCTTGAAGCCAGCTTGTAAACAAAGCGAGCTTGAAGCCAGCTTGTAAACAAAGCCAGCTTGAAGCCAGCTTGTAAACAAAGCGAGCTTGAAGCCAGCTTGTAAACAAAGCGAGCTTGAAGCCAGCTTGTAAACAAAGCGAGCCTGAAGCCAGCTTGTAAACAAAGCCAGCTTGAAGCCAGCTTGTAAACAAAGCGAGCTTGAAGCCAGCTTGTAAACAAAGCCAGCTTGAAGCCAGCTTGTAAACAAAGCGAGCTTACACGCAAGCTCTTAGTCTATGCAAATTTATGCAAATTTTTGAATGAAACTTAAAAAGGCAAGAAAATTTTGTGCGAAAATTTCGTAAAAGTTTGAGTATTTTTGAGTGTAAATTTTCGTAAATAGCTGTACTCTTGCTTTTGATTGATTCGACGCCAAAGAGACACGTAAAATTCATCGAAATTCTCTCCAATTGTCTCTATGCTAAAAGGTTTTTATGAAAAACTAAGCTTTTTTAGGCTTTTTGGTCACTTTTAGTCTTTTTCTAGTCATTTTTGGTCCTTTTTTAGCCTTTTTAGTCATTTTTAGTCATTTTTAGTCCCTTTTTAGTCATTTTTAGCCCTTTTTTAGCCCTTTTTTAGCCTTTTTAACCCTTTTTTAAAGCTCATAAAGAAAAGATAAAGAAATAGAAGGCCAGATATGGATCTCGGATCAATTTTGAGCACTCCTTGGAAACAGAAAGTGATCTAGAGGTGGACAAAGAAGGGAAAGAACTTTTGGAAAAGTTTGAAGAGATGAAGCTATTGTGTGACTTGTGCTTTGACCAGGCCAGGCTTTGACCAGGCCAGGCTTTGACCAGGCCAGGCTTTGACCAGGTCAGGCTTTGACCAGGCCAGGCTTTGACTAGGCTTGTGGCTTTGACTAGGCCCTTAGGCTTTTCTTGTTGGATAGAGGAAAACTTCTTTCTATTTCTTTCTATCTCTTTCTCTTTCCTTCTCTTTCCTTCTATTTCTCAACTCCTCACTTCATAAGCTTTAAAAACAGATTTGAATTGCTTTCCATTGTTCTTTGTCTATAAAAATCTTGAAGAATCAAAAATCAAGGATCAAGAATCAAGGATCTCTCCGAACTCACCCATTTGACAATTCATTCTGCACCGTCAACAGCGTGTCCCGTATCGAGCCAAGCATACTGTTCTATAGAAAAGTACTTGTATAAAAGTGTACTTTTTTTAAGGCACAAATCAATTTAATCATTTTAAAGTACATTTTTAAAGATAAAAACTTAAAGATTTCTACTTTAAATCATTATTTTTATTGTTTTTAATATATTTATTTCAATAAAAATCATCAAATAAAAAGTAAATCTCAAAGAAATTAAAAAGAAATTAAAAAGAAATTATAATTAAAAATAAACCCGTAAAATAAGATTTGAATTGAAAACCTAAAAGAGAAAGAAGAAGAGGAAGAAGAGGAAGAAGAGGAAGAGGAAGAAGAAGAAGAAGAAGAGGAAGAAGAGGAAGGAGAGGAAGAAGAAGAGGAAGAAGAGGTTGAAAGAAAGTTTTTGTTGATAGAGGTAGAGATTTGAGTTTAAATCCTAGTCGGTAAGATTCCATTTGGTTGTTTCGAGAAGTTGACGAGCGGTGGGACGATCCTCATAACTTTTTGTCATCATACTTCTTGTCAGAGTTTGTAGGCTCTCGTTTATCTAGATATTTGTCTTCTATAGCTCTTCAGTTCTTCTATAGCTTCTATAGCTCTACAGCTCTCTTCTACAGCTTCTATAGCTCTTCAGCTCTCCTCTACAGCTCTCCTCTACAGCTCTCTTCTATAGTTACCGTACGCCTTTTTAGCCTTGTCTTCAGCTCAGCTCCAGCTACAGTACCCTATTTCATTCCTCTGTACTGTAGGAATGGACCTAGAGTACTGTAGAAATGGAATAGGGTACTCTAGGCCGATTCCTACGTACTGTAGGAAATTTCAATCCTCTGTACTGTCGGGACGGATTTGGGTACTGTAGGAATGGAATGGGGTACTGTAGATCGACTCCTACGTACTATAGCAATAGAATATTCCATTTCAATCAGCTACAGTACCCTATTTCATCCTTACGTACTGCAGAAGTGTACTGTAGGTCTGTAGAGTACTGTAGGTCGACTTCTACGTACTATAGCAATGGAATATTCCATTTCAATCCACTACAGTACCCTATTTCAATTCTCTGTACTGTAGAAATGGAATTGGGTACTCTAGGTCCATTCCTACGTACTACAGAAATGGAATAGGGTACTGTAGGACTCCTACGTACTGTAGATCGACTCCTACGTCCTGTAAGAATGGAATACTCCATTTTTCAGGATTTTTTCAGCTACAGTACCCTTTCCCTTCTTACAGTACCCCTTTCCCTTCCTACAGTACCCCTCTCCCTTCCTACTGTACCCCTTTCCCTTCCTACACTACCCTTTCCCTTCCTACACTACCCTTTCCCTCCCTACAGTACCCCTTTCCCTTCCTACACTACCCTTTCCCTTCCTACAGTACCCCTCTCCCTCCCTACAGTACCCCTTTCCCTTCCTACTGTACCCCTCATCATTTACAGTACCCAAGACTCCAAACCTTCTCCGGCAATTGACACTGTGGCTCCTCGAAAGCGATCTTTAGCGTTGCCTCGATGTCGGGCAGTTCCTTAAATCCTTAAATCCTCTTAAGTCCTCTTTCTCCAACGAACCCGATACGGTACTTTGCCAGTCAACATCTCCACCAGTGTCACTCCCATACTCCAAATATCCGCTCGACGACCGGCTCTATAAGATTTTTATGGGAGAATCCACTCGCACTGATAAAGAATGATAAAGAACGGCTTTTGAAAAACTGACTCTCTTTGCCCGAGCACCACCTCAGGAGCCAAGTAATGCGGTGTACCGCCGCAAGAACCTCGTTGAGTAGCTAGAGCCTAAAGGGTTAGCTAAATGAGGTACTAGAAGCTAGCTAGCTTAGTAGCTAGCTACTAGAACTTACTTGCAATTGTTTGGCTGATCCAAAGTCTCCGATTTTTACGTTACCGTAGAGATCACGGAGAATGTTTGCACTCTGGAAGGGAGAGCTTTTATAGAGCTTTAGGGTTACTGTAGAGCTTTTATAGAGCTTTAGGGTTACTGTAGAGCTTTTATAGAGCTTTAGGGTTACTGTAGAGCTTCGATAGAGGGTACTGTAGGGGATAAGGATTACTGTAGAGGATAGAGATTACTGTAGAGCTTCATTAGAGGATACTGTAGAGGTTAGGATTGGTTCTATAAAGCTTACAGGTTACTGTAGCTGCTGTAAGGGTTACTGTAGCTACTGTAGCTGTTGTAGGAGTTACTGTAGCTACTGTAGCTGCTGTAAGGGTCACTGTAGCTGCTGTAAGGGTTGCTGTAGCTGCTGTAGAGGCTACTGTAGCTACTGTAGCTGCTGTAGAGGCTACTGTAGCTACTGTAGCTGCTGTAAGGGTTACTGTATCCTAGTATCCACCCTATTCCACTCACTTTGATATCCCGATGAGCGATGAGCTCTTCGTGCAAGAATTGCAGCCCTTCAAGCACTTGTTTCGTGTATCTTTCGGCGACTTTCTCCGCCAGTTTCCCATACTGGTTTAGAAGATCCTAAAGCTTTTAAAGTCCCAAGATTACGGTAGTTTCTACCACCATTTAACTAAATTCAAATCTTCAACATTCCCCCACCTTTACCGAACCGCCAGCCATGTATTCCATAAAAATCATGATATCAGTTGGGATTATTGAGACGCCGAGATATTGCACAAGTCGGACGTGCCTAAATTTGTTGGATAGCTTTTAAACGCAATTATTATACAGTATTTACCTTATTTATTACCAATTGAGAAAGAAATCAAAAAAAAAGCGGTACGAGGGATCGAACCCGGGAGCTGTGGGTTGCAGACCAGCATGCTACCGATTGAGCCACGTCGACTTGAAAAGGCCGGCGAGAAAAACAGCTTTTAACCGGTCCGAGAGTCGAATCCCGATCGGTCATAGATTTTTCTCGTCCCGACCAGCTAAAGCCTGATTTTTCTGCTCCGGCGTTTGGGTGACCGTGGCGCAGTCGGCAAGGCGCTCGTCTACAACCCACAAGACCCGGGTTCGATCCCCAGTGCCGCGAGTTTTTTGATTTTTTAATCGACAGTCGGCTTTATTTCCTTACAGTACGTGTTTTACAGCTTCCGTTTTACAGCTTCAGTCTGTACCGTATTTGTGCCAATCGTACAACATCAGTCTCAAGCGTGTGCAGATCTCTGCGTGTTGTCTCATCCGGCGAAATGACGATATGCTTGAAGACGACCTCTCGCGACAAATCGACATCGTAGGCGATGCAAACCTTGAATGCAAATTTCGATCTTAGGCTTTAGCTAGCTACAGTACAAGCTACAGTACAAGCTACAGTACAAGCTACAGTACTAGCTACAGCACTAGCTACAGCACTAGCTACAGTACAAGCTGCAGGATCTTTTTGAAGAAAAACTCTAGCCTACAGTATCCGGTTGATCTCATCGTACCTATAACTTGTCTAGAGTTCATTCTGTATCTTTGCTACAGTAATCCTAGCACAGATTGTAGCCAATCACTACAGTAACCCTAGCACAGACTGTATCTATCACTACAGTAACCCTAGGCCTAGTTTATAGAGCCTTATCTGTAGAGATCTTCAAAGCTGACCTCTCCAAAAGCTCCTCTCCCCAAGCAGCGTCCTTTCCTCCAATTCACTGGCAAAGACGGTTGAGCACTTGTCGCACTGCTCTAAATGTTAACCTTAAATAGATCGTTTTTTTATTTAATTTAAGCTTTTTAGGCACTTTTTAGACTGAATTTTAGCTTAATTAGATACTTTTTAATAATAAAAAAACAATACAAAAGCATAATCTCTAAGCCTTAAAAGATAGAAATGAGAAGAACGAAAAATCTAGCAGGAATGGAACCCTTGACCTCTTGGGAAAGCTCTAGACTGAGAGAGGCTCTTAACCAGTCGGCCATGACGGCTAAGAATAACTTGCCGGCATAAATGAAGACCGATCCACTGTCCGCACTGTCCGCACTCAGCATTCGCGAGGAAACCACCGGCTCTGGTGTGTTATTTGTATACGGAACCTCAACCACCTAAAAATTAACCACCTTGTACTTTGTGCTCGACAACACACCCTTTCTGGTGCACTGAATTTACAAACCCTTAACGTGTATGTGCCTGATTCATCTGGTAACAATGAAGAAGACGAGGAAGATGTTGAGCTCTCGTGCATTGAAAGGATTATGTACAAATTTCGTTGCCCACTTCGATCCACCATCTAGGAGAATTGAATAGATAAATTGATGAAATGTTTTAAAATCAAAAAAATAAGATTGAATGGCAGTGCGGTGGGTCGAACCCGGATCTTGTGGGCTGTAGTGAAGCCTGCTACCGACTGCGCCACGGCGACTAGGTGATGGGCTGAAAAAAATAGCCAGTAAAGTCGCGCCCCGGCAACTCGCTAGTCACAAGCCGGCTTGCTCGAGTCTTCTGGCTTTTTTTCGCTGGGGCTTCATGGCCGTCATGGCGCAGTCGGCAAGGGGCTCGGCTACAACTCACAAGATCCGGGTTCGATCCCCTATCCTGCCCCTTGATCTCGATTTTTTGCCTATTTTTTCTCTTTTTGATTATAAATGCCATAACTATCTTATATTTAAAAATTTGAGCTATCTTTGAGTTAAAGACGGCTGAGAAAGACAGATGGACGAGCTTTTAAATCGATATTTCTTAAATTTCGACATTCTTCCCACCTGAACCGCTGTATCTAACTCTTTTTGATCACGGATTGCTACCATGATGTTGCTGCCATGCTAAAGCTTTAGAGACTACAGTAGTTACGGTAAGCTTACATAGGTATAGTACATATTCATTCGTCTTCTGTATTCCCTTTGTAGATAGTTGTCCAAATCATTCCAGTCGACCGTCCCGTTTTCATTTCGCGGCAAAGCAATCTAAAGTTTGATCAGTTTGATCAGCTAGCTAGCCAGCCCAGCTAGCTAGCCAGCTAGCTAGCCAGCCCAGCTAGCCAGCCCAGCTAGCTAGCCAGCCCAGCCCAGCTAGCCAGCCCAGCCCAGCTAGCCAGCCCAGCCCAGCTAGCTAGCCAGCCAGCCAGCCCAGCTAGCCAGCCCAGCCCAGCTAGCTAGCTAGCCAGCCCAGCTAGCCAGCCCAGCCCAGCTAGTTAGCCCAGCCCAGCTAGTTAGCCAGCCAGCCCAGCCCAGCTTTTAAACATCCCTTCAAAAAAATCCTTAACCCTTGTCCTCTTTTACTCAATTCCTTACCTTTGTAAGCGTATTCTTGTGTCTCATCTTGATCGTGAGCTCCCTTCTCGTCTCCTCATCTCCTTTTCCTTCAGCTTTCCCCTTTTTACTTCCTCTCACTCTACCCAATGCTTTCAATTGTTTCACGAGATCATCAACCACTTCTTTTCGCTCACTCCCACCCGCTTGCACCTCCATCAGATTCTGGAATTGATTGCTTTTGATTGATATTTTATTGACATTGATAATTGCAGCTTAAGTAAAGGTATTTTTAGCTTTCAGCTTTTAGCCTTCAGCCTTCAGCTTTTAGCTTTCAGCTTATTAAAGCTATCAAAAGCTTACCTTTATAGCCGTTATAGGCGAGACCTTAACAATAATGGAAATGGCATAATAAGGCGGAAAATGGAAATGATCAGTTGAGGTTGATCGGTTGAATCCTGGAATTGATTGGATTGGATCTAAGAATCTGCAGGAATTCGAAAAAATAGGGCTTAAGCTTAGGCTTAGGCTTAGTACAAGAAATCAAATCAAGAAATTGAATAACAGATTCAATACAAAATCAAAAGCTGTACTGGATTCGATAGCTTAAGATTAGAAACTAACTTAAGATTAGATAACTACGTTTACAGATAGACTCTAGAGGTTTTAGGGGAAAAAACGCATTTCAGAGTTTATATTTTGTATGTAGATTGCGGGGGAAAGACGCAGAGAAAAGAAATGGAAAAGAAGTGGAAAAGAAATGGAAAAGAAATGAATGGGACAGCTGTGGGAGAAAGGAGAAGGGCAGCCAATCAATCCACTCCCCCCGTTTCTCTTTTCCCTCCACCCCTACCCCTACCCTAACCTTAACCCTGCACAATTTTTGCACCGCACCCAGCCTACCCCCACCTAGCCCTACCCCCACCCAGCCTTACCCTACCTAGCCCTACCCCCACCTAGCCCTACCCCTACCCAGCCTACCCCCACCTAGCCCTACCCCCACCCAGCCTAGCCCCACCTAGCCCTACCCCTACCCAGCCTAGCCCCACCTAGCCCTACCCCCACCTAGCCCTACCCCTACCCAGCCTACCCCCACCCAGTCTACCCCCACCCAGCCTTACCCTACCTAGCCCTACCCCCACCTGCCCTACCCCTACCCAGCCTACCCCCACCTAGCCTTACCCCCACCTAACCCTACCCCTACCCAGCCTACCCCCACCTAGCCCTACCCCTACCCAGCCTACCCCCCACCCTAGCCCTACCCCTACCCAGCCTACCCCCACCTAGCCCTACCCCTACCCAGCCTACCCCCACCTAGCCCTACCCCTACCCAGCCTACCCCCACCTAGCCCTACCCCTACATTCCCCCCGGCTACCCCTTCCCCCTCTCTCCCCTTCCACACACTCACACGTTCCATCCTCGTTCTCCCCATCTCCCCATCTCCCCATCCCCCCTCTCTCTTCACCTCAACTTTGATCCTAAACAATTTGCCAATTCTTTTAATTCTCAATTCTCTGCCAATTCTCTTAATTCTCAATTCTCTGCCAATTCTGCTTATTTTGTGTCCCGTTTTTTTAATGCTAACTTTGAAATAGAAGACTCTCTCTATAACGGAACTCTAACGGAACACTAACTGAATGGAATTTTGGTCCCGGTCGATGCTAAGCTACTCTAACTCTAACGGAAAACTAACGGAATGGAACCCGGTCGGTCCCGGTTTTTTTGGTTCCGGTCAACGCCTAAGCTATAAACGGCACTCTATAGAATGGAAACATTTTTTTGGTGCCTTCCATTCCGTTATCCATTCTGTAATTTCCATTCGTTATCCATTTATCCATTCTGTAATCAATTTTTCTTTTACTTATCCTGTTTAGCTTGGAGCTTAAATGAATTGAATATTTATTTTCTTTGTCATTGAAGTCATTTTCTAAATCTTATCTATATTATTAGGTTGTTAAAATGCTCTGAAACTTTTACTTGGTTTTTAAAAAAGTTCGATCACTTGTAAAAAAAAGACTATTTTTATTTTGACACTTATTTTGACAATAGATTTTTATGGTTTAATTCTGCTTAACAGATTCAGCTTCAGCTTCAGCTTCAGCTTCAGCTTCAGCTTCAGCTTCAGCTTACAGCCCAGATTGTGCTCTATCCGATTATACAGGAAAAATGCAAACGGAGCTCTTGATGCAAAGAGGAAGCTTGAAATTCTTGCCTATGCGAAACCAACCGCCTATGCCTCTGCGAACAATACGGCTGCAAACAAATTTGATGTGCCACGTTCGTCAATCATTTATTGGAAAAGAAGGAAAGCTCGATGATCAAGAAGGAAAGATTTGATAGAGGCATCTTTGGCGGCAGAAGGCAGAAGGCAGAAGGCAGAAGTTGATCACTTCAATCTTGACTTGAATCTTTTCGATTTTGATACTAGGTTGTTAAAAGAGCTTTCGATCACTTGCAGAAAAGTTAAAATTATCTAATTATTTTGACAATGGATTGTTATGGTTTGATTCTGCCACATCCAGCTTCATCCAATTGTGCTCCATCCGATCATAGCCTCTTCCGTCAATGCAGCACTTTCTAAAGTCATTTGAAGAAGTTGAAGAAGTTGAAGTTGAAGACGTTGAAGAAGTTGAAGAAGTTGAAGAAGCGTGTCAAGAGTTTTTTGATTCAAAGGTACCCCACCTTGGTACTTCGGGTAGATTCGAAATCTTGCTGATTAGTTGTAGAAGGTTGCTGATTAGTTGTAGAAGGTTGCTGATTAGTTGTAGAAGGTTGCTGATTAGTTGTAGAAGGTTGCTGATTAGTTGTAGAAGGTTGCTGATTAGTTGTAGAAGGTTGCTGATTAGTTGTAGAAGGTTGCTGATTCATTGTAGAATGTTGCTGATTGTAGAATGTTGCTGATTAACGGTAGAATGTTGCGGATTGATTGTAGAATCTTGCTGATTGTAGAATGTTGCTGATTGATGATAGAATCTTGCTGATTAGTTGTAGAATGTTGCTGATTGATGGTAGATCTTGCTGATTGATTGTAGAATCTTGCTGATTGTAGAATCTTGCTGATTGATGGCAGAGAATGACGAACTATACTTCGAAGAGAGAACGTTGTTGTTTTTCTTCATTAATCCTCTAAATTCCATAACATTACGATAGACTAAAACAAAAAATGAAAGAAAAAAATTGATTGACATTGAATTCTAATCATTTTACATCAAAAGAAAAAAAAAATGGCTGAGTGTAATTTGGAAATGACTCAGCCTTTGTAAAATTGTGTGCGCATTCATTGCGATCATTTCACTATTCACTGGTTTTCTACTATGAGTACTAAAGCAAATAAATCAAAATTTCATGCAAACCCCTTTCAATACAATTGCGCAAATATGGATAAGCTGTAGGCGATAGTATAGAATCTCTTTCTTTTGCGAATCGGGACAATTCTTATTGGTGTACGTGTGAAAGCGCTTTTCCTTTCTTTTCTTTCCTTTCTTTCCTTTCCTTTCTTTCCTCTTCCTTTCCTTTCCTTTCCTTTCCTTTCCTTTCCTTTCCTTTCCTTTCTTTCCTTTCCTTCCTTTCCTTTCCTTTCCTCGACATTTTACTCGAGTTGTTCGGCGATGACACTTTCCTTTTTCTTTCTTTTTACTTCAGGCCTTGACCCCGTATCCCTTTTCTTGTTTCTGGAATTTCATATGCGTGTGAGAACACTCCTTCAGTCAGAAATCTCGAGAATCTGTCCGAATTTCTGACTTTCGAACTAGGCCAAGTGATAATTACCGATCTTTTCGCTTCTAATCGAAAAATTTCAATATCTCCCTCCATCCCTCAACTCTAGATCTTGTTTTAGCAACAACCCTAAAATCTAGCATTTGAGCTTTAGCTTTAGCTTTGAGCCTTAGCTTTGAGCCTTAGCTTTGAGATTTAGCTTTAGCTTTGAGCTTTAACTTTAGCTTTAGCTTTGAGCTTTAGCTTTGAGCTTTAGCTTTGAGCTTTAGCTTTGAGATTTAGCTTTGAGATTTAGCTTTGAGATTTAGCTTTGAGATTTAGCTTTAGCTGTGAGATTTAGCTTTGAGCTTTAACTTTAGCTTTAGCTTTGAGCTTTAGCTTTGAGCTTTAGCTTTGAGCTTTAAGAATGAAAGCTAATCCAAGAAAAGCTAATTCGTAAATCTATTACAATAGCCCGCCCAGTTAAAATCCTGACAAAAAAGTATTTAACCAAATCTTCGCAAAAAAATTAAAACAAAACAAAAAAGCAAATCTTCGCGCAAACTTTCACAATTTTTTTTAAAATATGCCAACTTCGACTTTTTAATGAAATTGTCAACTCTTGCATGCCAGTAACCGAGCTTTATTGTCGTTTTTCACTTTTTGATGACTTCTTCGAGGGTTTGTCAGTTTTGGCGCTTTGATTTGACGGCTTGATTAGGTAAATCGTTTAAAATAGGCACATTAGAGATATAAGCATATCGAGATGAGCGCGATTTTTTGAGCTATTACATGTATTACATAGCGCTTAACTGTTTTGTTTTGTTTTGAAATATTTGTTTTGTTTTCAAATCTAGGTGTTTGTCGATTTGAGGCTTTGTTTTACCCTTTAAACTTTTTATCATTCTTGCTTTTAGTTTATTGGAGGGTTTGCCCATTTTGCTGAAGCTAAAGATTGAATTTGATGATCGTTTAGGTTATTGCATTATCACAAATACCTTTGATAGATTAAATTATCAATTATTATAAATACTCTAATAGAAGCCACCTATAGGCGTATATGAGCGTTGCTTATAGGAACGTTGCGTAGTCTAAGTTTACTTTCAAATAAACGCTCATATCTCAACATTAGTATCAGTTTTGCACGTTTGCGTACCAAATTAAAGTAGAAAGATAAGGGGATTTTTGAGTTATTACATGTATTTCTAGCTTTAAACAGCGCTTTAAAAAAATGATGAGAAATCGTTCTTTTTTGTCACTCTCAAACAAACGCTCATATCTTTACACCCGTACTTTTGTTTCTAGCCGTTTGTGTACCAAATTAAAGTAGAGAAAATGGGTGATTTTTAAAGATATAACACTTATTTTATGCTTAAACCAGTGCTTAGAAAAAGAAGATTGAAAAAAGACAAAAGAAAAACGATTTTTCATCATTTTTCAAAACCGATTTTTCATCATCTTTCAATCATTTTTTTCTAAGCGCTAGTTAAAGCTAGAAATACATGTAATAGCTGAGAAAATCACCCATTTTCTCTACTTTAATTTGATACCAAAGCGCGTAGAAACAAACGTACTGGTGTCAAGATATGAGCGTTTGTTTCTGAGTGGCAAAAAAAAAGTCTATTATATTTTATATTAGTCTATTTTTCTATTTTTCTTTTTTTCTAGTCTATTTTTTTATTATATGAGTGTTTATTTGAGTAAACTTAGACTATGCGACGCTCCTATATAGTGGTTTCTATTAGAATATTTACGACATAAGCATATGAGCGCACAAAACTACTATCTCCAGCCGGAATGACTGCGTAACCGCATTCCATTCCTTTTGCCATTCACCTAATGCGGCTTTTAAGGCAGTATATCGTTAATGGATCCACGTATGGCTCGTTTCCTTGTGCGCGTTCTCTTTTCCCCTTATATGTACTTTCTTTTTGAGCTTTAATGAGTCGTCGCGGTGGATTTTGTGATGCTGGGATTGTCTACGCATTTTGCCTATCACCGACTTTCAATTTGGCGAAAAATGTAAACCAACAGGTCCCTCTGTGTTGAGCGAAACTATTTTTGGTTGAACCTCGTGATTTGACCTCTGCTTTTCTCTCTCGCGAAAATCTCAATTTTCATTAGCGCCTCCTTTTCCCCGATTTGAGAGTTGCATTCAACTTTACTTTTACTCACTTTCTCCAGAGTTTGCCTTTCATTTGAGAGAACTTATTTTATGAGTGCTTTTAATTTCTATTGATCGTTTTCTGATTGCTTTTCTTGATTGCTTTTCAAGTAACTTTTTAATGTTTTTATTTAGGCGTTGAAAGTTGGATCCTTGAGATGAAAGAGACGAAATGAAGATGAACAAAGATGAAAATCGTGATTTGAAGGGTAATTCCTGAGACTTGTTTTGATCTGATACAGATCTTTATCTGAAAACACGCAAAGTGTCCAGTCTCGTGAGATTTGATAGGATCTTTTTGAGATATTTTCGTAATCCTATACCATGATGATCTATTTGATTTTCTCTTGTCAACCCTTCCCTTTCCTTTTTCGATTAAACTTTTCTTGCAATCTTTATGCTAGTTCTCTTTCTCATACTTACAGATTCGCAAAAGTGTCGCTTCGGTGTGTGTGTGTGACCGGTTGCTCGGAGCGATTGATTAAATCGAAATTCCTTTTCCCGAGATCCGTGCCGTCGGAGTGTGCGCGAGTCTTTTCCTGAATGTTCTTGTCTCTGACTCTAGAGTGTACTCAAAGAATCGTTTTTCATTTAGATTGCCGGTGTTTTCCTCACCATTCACCCGCAAATGATTGTCGTTTTCGAGTGACAATTGACACGGATTCCAGGCGTTCTTTGTATGCCATGTTTCTTATGTCTTTTCAAAAAATCTTTGCGGAAAGCGGGGTGATCGCTCGAGGTCGAGACCATAAAATGGGGGCGAGTCGCCTTTTGAACTAGTGCTCGAACACCTGCTTTCAATTTCACTCCATTGCCGCTTTTCGTTCACCCATATTTTTCTTGTAACGCTATCTTTTATAGCTTTATGTTATTTTTGAGGCATTTAAAAGCTATAAGCTCTTTAGAAGCTATAAGCTCTTTAAAAGCTATAAGCTATAAAGCTATATAAAAGCTAGATAAAAGCTAATATAAGCTATGAGCTATAAAATATCAATTAAATGACCGAAAATGCACATTCTTTAGGTTTTTTTAAATGTTTTTTTTAGTTTATCGTTCTTTGTTTAAAGATCTCCTTTAATTGTGATCAATCAATGTCACTGTTCTCTCGAGTTCCAACAAATCACCGCCATGTTGTGTAGCATAATTTGTCGTAACAAGCCAAGCGGATGTCTCATTCACTTGCTGACAAATCTATTCCCCGAGCTGATGTGGATCTTGCTCTAAAATTTTATTCTCTTATCTGTTTATTGAAAAGCTTTTCTTTTTCTCGGATCATTTTCGTTCTTTTCAACCTTTTAAAACTAATTTCAATATTTCCAGGAAAGGCTAAACGATCGGAGGGAGCGGCATTCGGTTTGCGGAGACTTCAAAATCTTTGGTAATAAAGTTTAGTTTTGGCGGCATAATTTTCTTCTGTTTAGTAGTGACAGCGAAGGAGGACAAGACGATTCGCGAGCTTCTCTAGCGGCGGAAAGTGCCCTCTGTAAGATCCGGCCTCCAAGATGGGCACCTCATCACCAAATTCGCGAATTCTATCGAGGCCAGCGGCCCTTGCTATTGTCGGGATCATGATCGGACTCTCCACGACGTAAGTTTTTTGAGTGCTCTAAGAAAGCTATTAAATGTGTTCACTTTAAGTTAGCAAGAATGATCAAACTACTGTTAAAAGATAAAACTAGTGTTAAATGTATAAGTGTGTATAAATGTTAAATGTATAATAAATATTCTTTTTAGCTGGTGCTTCTCGTCAATAACAAGGATGCCGCCATTGATGTGTGAAACTGTGGCTGTTAGTCGGGTAAGCCGATCTTTTTTCTTTATTAAAATTATTCAAAATCTAGATAAAACCCGATCAAGGATTTGTGCTCGTCGGAATAATGACAGCAGCCAAATATGTTGACTCGAGAGCCTACAATGTTTGGAAAACCTGGGCAAAGCACATCAATGGAAAAGTGCATTGACCTTTTGCAGTATTCATTGAAAATTCTGTCTAGGTACTCTTCTTTGTCGCAGAAAACACGGAGAGCATCTATCCTGATTTGCCGCTCGTTCGATTGAAAGGCGTCGATGACACCTATCCACCGCAAAAGAAGAGTTTTGCTATGCTACGATGGATGGCCGATAATCATGTAAGCGTTTTTGAATTCGAGGTTGATAGTCAAGAAAGCGTTCAATTTGTGTGTTTAGATCGACAACTTTGATTGGTTTGTGCGAGCTGATGACGATTTATATATTCGTGGCCCCGAACTAGAATCTTTCTTAAGGTCTATTCAAAAACTGGCGTAATAAATATCAATTCTAGATCACTTGATTCATCTCGGCCATATTTGGTTGGGCAAGCCGGTTTGGGAAACAGCGCCGAGTATGGACTTTTGGCGCTGGGAAACACGGACAACTATTGCATGGGTGGTCCTGGAGTCGTTCTAAGCCGACAAACATTGAGGTTTGTTTTGAACGAAAATTTTAACAGGCATATCTTCATTTCAGATTACTGTCGCCACATCTTGAATCTTGCCTTTCACATCTGCTAACAACGCACGAAGATGTCGAACTTGGACGTTGCATTCGGAGACACGTGGGCGTATCGTGCACCTGGAACTACGAGATGCAGAAACTCTTTCACAACAATCAGAGCACAACAACGGTTACTTTGTTTGACAAAATTAAATAAAAAAAACTTACTCAGGATTCTTTTATTCTTCATGGTAGGTTTATTGTTGTGAGGGTCTAGTCGTGTTCGTGTAGCAGTAGTTTATAAAATTATTGTTGTTATGATTATAAAATTATTGTTGCAGGCCTACACCGGGAGTCTACATGAGCTCACTGCTGCCATTACAATTCACCCAATCAAAGATCCTCGGATTATGAATAGAGTATAGTTGTTATTAAAATATTGTATACATTTTATTTAAGGTCCATGCGCATCAACGAGCCCATCAATTGAAACAACTACGAGCAAAACGGATTTTACTCGAATCGGAGTTGACCGGGTCTCACCAACCAGGCCTAATAAGGTAGTTCTACTTTTTTTTTGTATCTTAATCAATTGCTTTAGAGTACAACCAAACAGAACATCTGACTTGGAACCTTGGAATTTCATCAACAATCAGAAAATTATCTTCTGCACGGATAGAGTCACTTGTCCTCGACACACGGTCGAGTTAAGTGTGAGAACGGAAGCGAGTGAGATCATCAACCAGGTGCTTTAGCTTTGAAAAAGTATGACAGTCAATGAATTTTAGCTTTTCGATGAGTTTAATTCCAATGCTCGCCAACGGGGACGTGTTCTTCAATTCCAAAGCCTGCAATATGGATATATGCGAGTGGAGCCCAAATACGGTCAGTTTTGAATGACATTCGGCTAAAAATTTGTTTTGTTTTAGGTGTGGACTATGTGCTTGACATGATTTTGTGGTTCAAGAAATTCCGTCCACCACACCGAACAACGCTCAGCGTCCGGCGACATGCCTATGTACAGCAAACATTTGGTCCTCTACAAGCCACCGATGATTCAAAAATTCGGTATTACTCGATTTGTATACGTATAATACGTTTGGTGTTTAGAGCAAATTTGAGGCACTTCTCAAATTCGTCTTACGATGAAGAAGTGGTCCCACACATTCATATGATCTTGCCGTTGAGAGGACGAGCTGAGATATTTCAACGTTTTGCAGCTCACTTAAGGTGTGATCCAGTTTTAAACTATTATTCAAGTGCTTTAGGAATGTTTGCCAGCGGGAAAGCGGTGTGACATTGGTACTCGTACTCTACGAATCGGATGATGTTGAGCAAAATAGGAAGACGGCTGCCGAATTAAGCGACGCTATCACAGTGAAGGTGGGTTAATATTAGAGTTTCCAAATTAGAATGTTATGATTTAGATTGTTGACATGGGCGATCAGAAGTTTTCACGAGGAGTTGCTTTGATGAAGGGCGCAAAAGATCTTCCACCAACAGCTCTATTATTCTTCACCGATGTTGACATGCTATTCACTTGTGACACTCTGCAACGAATCCGGCAAAACGTCATTCTTGAAGCTCAGGTTAGTGAGATGCTTTTCAAATTAAGTTCTTTATTTTTTAGGTTTACTTCCCAATCGTTTTCTCGGAATTTTCACCCGAATCTTGGTCGGAGAATGATAAGTTGCTCGCTGATGCTTTCCATTATGGTCGCCGCCGGGGATATTTCCGTCACTTTGGATTTGGACTTGCTGCTCTTTACAAGGCTGATTTGGATCGAGCTGGTGGATTCAACACTGGAATTGACGGGTGTGTCAATAGTTTTTTTTACTTATTTATTACAATTTTAGTTGGGGCTTGGAAGATGTGGACTTCTTCGAAAGGAACCTGCGTACTCAAAATCTTCGCATCATTCGAGCGCCCGAGCCTGGACTTGTGAGTTCCTTTTACCACTAATATAGAGCCAAATAGGATTTGAATGAATCACAATAAAAAGTTAAGGTTCACATCTACCATCCAATCGTGTGTGACCCATCTCTGCCCGCGCCACAGAAGAACATGTGTCTTGGGAGTAAAGCGGCCTCGCTCTCCTCGATTGACGCGCTCGTCGATCAGATCACGCAATACGTTTAATGCGATGAAAAGATCAAAATTAGGTGCCTTTTAAAATTCCTTGTGCCATTATCTCATTTTGTGTCTATTCAATTATATTTACATTTACTTTGCCGATTTTGCCTTTTTCCCTTTTACGTTGTGACAACTTGCCGGTGTTTTTTCTTTCTCTTGCCTAAATATCTTCAAAATAACCGGGTCAAACTACATAAAGCCTTGCCCAAGCAGCAATAAAGTAGAGAGCCTTTTCGAGCATAATTTTGTCTTGCATTTAGATTTAGAAGAGATACACATATGAAGAAAGTCTAGTCATTGATCTGCTCTTTGTTCAAATTTCTGCCATATGCTTTCTCTCTTTCGACTTTGTCCTTCACACAGTTTTCCCACTTTGTGCTATTTATTGCTTTAAGCCCAGTCAAGTTGTGAGTTCTTTCTCATTCCACTTGTTTGTGCATGCTCATCTCACGAGTGCTCTCCATTTTGTCCAGTAACTTTCTTTTGTATTTGATTTTGTCTAGTTTAATAAGTTCATGATAATAAACGAGTTCTTCTTTAAGGAATGAATAACGGTAACGAGTGAGCTTACTGCAGAAAGTACCCTGATAGGCCTAGTTTACGATTTGAATCTCAGAAGTGACAAGCTTCACTCTAAATCCCTTCGGGGGTGAAACTTCTCGATGAAGTCAAACAGTACTAAAAGAGTATGGTGGCGAATTTCAGAGTTTTAGCTTTTAGATTACTGTAAGCTCATAGGGCTACTGTAGATAAGAGAAGATCCTCTCATTGGGTTGAGCTGTACTTGATGAAGTTTATCAGGTGCAGGGGCGTAGCCAGGATCTCGGAACTTGGCGTCTGACGGTCCGAGCTCCTCGAGGCTAGCCCAAACAATTTCCGATCAAGAAATTATATTTTTTAAAGATTTCAGGCTACAAAACTGTCTAAAGAGTTTTTTGAAAAAATTCAAAGGGCTCGTGATTTTTGCATTTTAGTGTAAAAATGTCGATAAAACGAGTTTTTAGGAGGCATGAAGAATTGTTTTTACAAAACTAACGTTATGATTTTCAGAAAGTAGAAGAAATTTGACTAGGGCCGACCAATAGGAAAAACGGTTGGCCATCTAGTTTTTGAGAATTTTGCGATCAAAAATTGAAAAACACAAAAAAAGTGAAAATGGCTAACTTCAAACGCGAAAATCTCAAGCCCTTTGAGTTTTTTCAAAAAAGTGTTTAGACAGTTTTGTAGCCTGAAATATTTAAAAAATATAATTTTCTGGTCGGAAATTGATTGGGGTTAGCCTCGAGGAGCTCGGATCGTTAGACTGAAAGTCGCGAAATTTTGGCTACGCCCCTCATCAAGTGAATGTTATTGCCCGGAATACGGTCGCTTTTCCGCAAGCTCATCTTTTAGGCAACGCAAAACGCGACTACGGTAGCTAGAGTGCGCGAAAAATCAAAGCTAATAAGGATTACGGTAGCTTTTGCATACTTTAGACCACAGTGTGCTAGAAAGAGTGCGTTTGTGAAAACGAAAAGTAGTCAAGTATTTCTTGAGCTTTGAACAACCTCTCAAGCATGCATTTTGTTTTTTGTCTTTTTTTTTTTGCAACCAAAAAGACAAAATGAATGAGCTGTCAGAGGGGAAATCGACTTTTTCTCATTTTCTTTTCTTTTTTTTTTGTTCTCACCCCGAAAAGCTTCCTCCTATTAGTTGTGTTTTATTTTTTGGAGAGAGAGAGAGAGAGAGAGAGAGATAGAAAGGGATCAAATTGTTTGACTTGGGACTCAAAACTCGGATCTCTCGTATTGCATGGATGAAAAAAAATATTATTTTTCATTTTTAATCCATAATCCAGAAACACACCATTGCTGGCAAATCGCTTTCTGGCAGAGATTCATTTCTGTTAAAGTTTTTGATTTCACCTCAAGTTCAAGTAGTCTTTCTCATTTTGATTTTTGAAAACTTTCGACTTTCGACAAAACGACATTTCCCCCCTCAGTCAACGAGAGATCGAATGTCAACTTTGAGCTCTTTTCGCTTTCGTGTTTTTCAGTCGTTTTATTTTTCTCCTTCCAGGAAAGATCAGTGAAATGTCAAGGAAATGACTCTCATGAATCTTTCAGTTATCTTATAATTGCAGAATTTCAGCTTTCAGCTTTAGCTACCCATCAAAATTCCCATTTCTAAGGCTCATTTGGGCATTTTTATGTGTTTTGCTGTGATTTTTCGGCTTTCCCTTTCATTTTGAGGGCATTTTTAATCGATTGACTTGGGTTTTCACTTCAAAAGTGAGTTTTTTCAAACCGGATCTAAGACTTGTAACCCAAGGCAGTGTTAGGGTCAGATCTAGGTCCAGATCCAGATCCAGGTCCGGCTCCAGATCTAGATCCAGGTCCAGATCCAGATCCAGGTCCAGCTCCAGGCCCAGCTCCAGCTCCAGGACCAGTTCCAGGCCCAGGTCTAGGCCAGATCCCGACTTGCGGCCTCTAACCTAATAGGAAGCTAAGCCAGTCCAGACTCAGGGTTAGCTTCTGACAGGTTCACTACTTTATGCGCTAGGCTCAAGTCTGATACCTTGCCTGGTCCGGATTCGAAATGGGAATATTCCAACCCAAGCCCACATTCGTTTTCTTAACGGATTCCTCTGAAATTTTGTCTACACATCGAAATCGACATTTTCGACTTGTAGACAAAATTCCAGAGAAATCCGCCAAGAAACGGCCGAGAAAACGAGCGTGGAATTGGGTTCGGATTGGCATTTCCCCCAGTTGTCTAGTCCGGATCGATCGCCTTTTTGAACACCCTAGTCTAGAAGGTTTCAATCCAAAATTGGAGTTCAAATTGAAAACGAACTCGAAATTTTGTTTCAACTTTTGCACGGCCAGCACGGCCAGCACTTGCAGGATATTTTCAGGAATATCCAAATTCCCTGTCGACTCTAAAAACCCGAATCTAAAAGCTGATTAATCGAAAGCTCATCGCTAATTCCATTCATTTGAGAAAAGATCGCTCTAATGGGTTTATTTTTAGAAATAAAAAGAAACGACTAACCTTTTCTGCCTTTCTGCCTTTCTGCCTCAAAAAACACCCATATTTCTTTCAGCTTTTAACTTTTTTCCTCTTTTCCTCTTTTCTATGAAAAGTTTGCATCGAAATGAATGGGTGGTCGCTAGAAAAGGTCCAGAATCTTTCTTCGTTCTTTTAGTTCTTTTTAAAGAAACCCCCCTCCCCCTCCCCCACCCAAGAAAGAGTGAAAGATGAAAGGAAAATGCAAAATTGAGGCAAACCCTTTTGAAATGTTTATCGAAATAACTCTTTCAAATATCTTTTTCGAATTTTAGCTCATTTCTTCATCTTTTCATTTGAAAATTCTTTCGAAAATCTCAAAAATTTCGAAAATTTTAGAATTTTTTGAAAAATTTACTTCAAATCGATCCCAAAATAACTTCAAATTTGGGTAATTAAAGAAGAAATGAGCTAAAATTAGAAGAAGATATCGAAAAGTTATTTAAGGCGCTTTTTGCTGTGAAATCGGTAAAAAATTTTTTTTTTCTCAAATCTGTTTGCATTCTCTTTAAATCGCTATAAAATCGTCAATTTTCAACCAAACAAGCTAATTCTTTTTTCAATAGATTCTCCATGAAAAATCCTATAAAATAGATATTGGGTTTATCAGGGAAAAATCGAGTTTAAAGGGGTAAAATCGGGGTTGAAGTTGGTGGGACACTTTGTGCGTTCTCTGTGCGTTCTCTTCATGTAGCTCGTAAGAAAAAACGGCGTCTGGCACACGGCCCCGGTAGAAGCAACCAAAAGGCCCCCCCGCGCCTCGGTTTAATTACCCAAGTCTACGTACTCTTCATGTAGCTCGTAAGAAAAAACGGTGTCTGGCACACGGACCTAAGCAAAGACCAACAGGAAGTCGGCCCAGCCGGTTTAATTACCCAAGTGTGCGTACCCCTGTTGTCACTCGTAGGGAAGAACGGCATCTGGCACACGGCCTCCCGGTAAGGACGTCGGGGAGCCGCCTCCCGCAGGTTTAATTACCCAAGTGAGCGTACCCTTAGCGTCACTGGTAAGGAAAGACGGCGTCTGGCACGTGGCTTTGAACAAAGGCCTTCCGAAGGTGCCCTCAGCCGGTTTAACAAACGAGTGTGCGTACCCTTGATGTCACTTTTAAGAAAAAACGGCATCTGGCACACGGACCTAGGTAAAGACCGTCAGAAAGCCCTCCCCAGCCGGTTTAATTACCCAAGTTTAACGATTTTTCGATATCTTTTAAAATTTTCATTTTGTATCTCGTTTTGTTTTTCATTTTTTCATTTTTCATTCATTTTTCATTCATTTTTCATTCATTTTCTTTCTTGCTGATTCACTGTAAATCCCAGAAAACAAACGAGCGCTTAATCTGTCTAACATGAAACGGAAATTTGATCGTCGAATAAAAGGGTTTTACCGTATAAAAAAAAAAAGCTACTAAATATTTTGTATTTTGAACATTTTGAAATCGAATTTAAAAAAAGGGAATTTCGATGAAAATGTGGTTTTTTCGACCCAAAGTCAATCTAATTTATGCCAAAACGCGTCAAAATGTCCCCCCCCCTTTTCACCAGAGAAAACTCAAATCTTTCTTTCTTTTTTTGAGCAACAACTTTTTATTGAACTTTATTGAGGCTCTTGTCGATGCTAAAGGGTTTACTGTAGCTACTGCATCTGCTATAGGATTACTGTAGCTGATCCAGGGATTATTGTAGCACTTAGAGAATCTGCGAGACAAAAAACGCATTATTATTAGCATTTTCTTCTTTTTGTCTTCTTTTCCCTTGTCTTTTACTTTTTCTATTGGCGAGTAAATGGCCCGGATAGCTCAGTGGTTAGAGGTTAAAGCCCGGTAAGCGGAAGATCGAGGGTTCAATCCCGGGTCAAGAATTTTCCTTTTTCTCCTCAATTTCTTCACTTCTTTACAAGTGTATAGTGTTTTTAACTGATATGGGAATGGTCTGAGCTTAAAGTTTGAGCTTGAA